AAATTATAAGTAGATTCGACATATCTTTATTTTTTTATTTTTTATTATTTTAAAATATTAAAAAAAAAAGAAACGTTAGTTTTAGCTAAAAAAATTCATTGAAAAAATTTTAATTGCATGGTAGATCCTGGTGTTGAGGGAGCACAATACTTTTCTTCGTTTGTCTATTTTTGAAAAAAAACCACTTTTTAAATACTTTTAAGTTTTTGTAAATGCAAAGTCCACAACAGTATGGACCCCATTGACATTTTGCGTAATTGCTGGGTATACTATGTAGATGTGTATATTCTTTGTAAAGCTTGGCTAATTAATTTATGAAAAAAAAATAGATTTTCGGTTAAACATTTCATTAGTTTTTCGGTAAAACAATCACAAATTTTGAATAACATCTTTTTAGTCCCCTACCGACGAAGTCGAAGGGGACTTTAGGTTTGCACTCCGTCTGTCTGTCTGTCTATCCGTCAGTCCGGCAAATCAGTTTTCCACACCTTTTTCTTCGTGCTTGAAGATATTGATTAGATATTTAGTATATAGTTTTATCATGACAAGTTACAGATCAAGTTCGAATTTTGTTCCGGTCTGATGATTTTGAGCAGAGTTATGGTCCTTGGACTTAGAAAATTCACTCATATAATCAGTTTTCCACACTTTGTTTCGTCATGCTTGAAGATATGGATTTGATAGTTGGTATATAGTTTTATCATGACAAGTTACAGATCAAGTTCGAATTTTGTTCCGGTCTGATGATTTTGCGCAGAGTTATGGTCCTTGGACTTAGAAAATTCACTCATATAATCAGTTTTCCACACTTTGTTTCGTCATGCTTGAAGATATTGACTTGATATTTGTTATATAGTTTACATAATGACAAGTTATAGATCAAGTTGGCATTTTGTTCTAGTACAATGAATTGTTGACCGGTAGGGGACTATGTATAGCCATGCAGTACTATCAGAATGCTTGTTATGCTAGGATTTCAACGAAAATTAAGATATGTGTATAATACCTATTCTAAATTAATTCCCGATGACAAAAATATTTTTAATGCGAAATATGGGGATCATATGTTAAAAGATAGTTTTGGTTAAAATGAAAAAAAAAAATAGTAACATAGTTCTGTAATTTTTTATGTTTAGGTTTAGATTGCTATTCCAGACTGGTTCGGGTGTCAAAAGAAAAGTATGATAAAGCATCTTTTGGCCACTTGATTCGAACATCATAAAGTATTATGAATCTACACAATAACATCCTTTAGATGTTAATAAGACATATACTTTCGGACATTAGTTCCGAGATTTTGGCATTTTGTCTTACAAGTTACACGGACGTGGGGTTTCAAACTTCTTACATTAAATGCAAAACATAAAAATATGCCGAAATATTTAAATAATAGCAGCATCTTTAACAAAAAAAACATTTTGCTACAAAGTGTTTTTTGCAAGAATGTTAAAGAGAGACGACTATTTTTCAAATGACTGCTGGAATACTAAAACTAATCATATTGCTCAGATTTTAACGAAACTTTATATTTAGGTAAAACACATCCTAGATTATTTCCTGTTGTCAAAATTTACAACAATTGAACTTCGGTGAAATGCAATGCGTTATATGCGTCAGTTTTAATTATTTGTTCCTGTGCCTCACAAAACAAATGTGCAAAAAACCCACTGAAACTATAAAAGCAATACCCTGAAATATGAATGTCTATATCTCTACCTGTAGTATTTTAAAATATCGACATGACCTTTTATCCTCTGACATGTTATACTCATATCATCTATTAGTCCAATGTTAAATAAGGTATATGAAATAAATCCTGGGAAAACTGTTGAAGAAACTACTATATTTCGTGTACGTGTAGATCAATGTTAAAAAAAAGGTGCAATCATAAATTTGTATATTCGACTTGTGCAAGATTAAAGATGCGTAAAAAATACCGGTACAAGATATAAGCGAATAAGATTAAATGATTTCATATTAAAAAAACATACATATTTCTATTCGACAATCTTCGTCTGTGTCGGTCCTTTTCAAACTGAACCAATAAGTCTTTTGTTGTGCACATAATGATATATTTCACAAATTTTCCTATACCTGATTTCCCATGAGACAATTTGTAACTATAGACCCTCCAGACCCAGGCGTGTAGTGGAGAATGCCTTTGGTATTCTGGCTCACAAGTTCCGAGTTTTGCTGAGGACCATAAACCAGAGGCTAGAGACATACAGAAAAATCATCACAACTTGTGTGATCCTTCACAATCTCATCCGACTGAGATATCCAGCCAACGTCAAAACCCTGGTGGACTTTGAGGACCAGAACCAGAATGTCATTCCAGGGGCATAGTTTCTGGATGCTTACCATGAGAGGGCAAGGAACAGAACTCAGGATGGGAGACAAATAAGGTTATACCTGGGTCACTACTTACCTCAAAGGCTTGTTCGGTGCCATGACAAGACAGGATGATCCAATAATTATTCCCACAATGCACTGACAGTAAAATCAATACAAAGACGATGAACAAATTATTTTCACATATTGCATTGTAACTTAAAGCACTATGTGTATGGAGTAATAAATCTAGTTTCTGAAATTTTGATTGAAATTTACTTTAATATAGAAATTAAAATAACTCGTAAAGTAAGGATAAAGGGGGAAAAATAAGGTAATTAAATTAAATTTCCCGAGGATGACATCGTATAGTCATCGTTTTGCCTTCATGTGTCCTGTATATAAACATCGTAATAAAAATTCACATCTTTTTGTTGCCTGCGTGTGTGGTTCAGGTGCCATCGTGTGACCTTTGTAGGCTAAGTAATTTTTTCATATTCGTATGGCAGTCTGGTGTCAATTTCAGGACAGTGTGACGCCTGCAATATTTTTTTTACAGATGACAACGATGATTAAGATTTATCACCGAGTTTTTACTTAATCAATATTATTGTAAGATAGGGTCAATTACCAAGCCGCTATTTTGTGATGCCTAATCACTTTATAATTATAACTTATTAACGTTATTTATAGGAGTAACACGACGGGTGTCGCATGTGGAGCAGGATCTTCTTACCCTTGCAGAGCACATGCAATCACCCCCGGTCTTTGGTTGGGTTTGAGTTGCTCTGTCTTTAGTTTTCTATGTTGTGTTTTTATACTGTTGTTTTTATTTTTTTTGGCATTTTTCGATTTTTGCTATGGCATTGTCGGTTCGATTTCGACTTATGAGTTTGGTGATTCTTTGGTTTTTCGCCTCTCTTTTAAATCACTTTATCACATTTAATTGTCACATTGTTGATACCATCATCCCCTTTTATCATAAATGGAAATTTGTACTAACAATATTACCTTATTTTTTGTCAATGCTTATATTTATTAATTATTGTAACACTTGACATTTTAATTAACAAGGGAACACGCCACCATTCAGCATCTGTAATATTGTTTAGGATTAAAGCTTAATTATATTCAAGTGTACTTTGTGTATACAATTAAAGTTTGCTTGTGTTTTTAGTTGCACAAATTTCATTTGGTCAAAGCAAATTGGGTTAGACCCAAGTACATTATACTTTTAATATATCTTCTGCACAATACAAAATATATAACGATCTAAGTTAAAAGGCTGAACTAAACTACAAGATAAGTGCCAAAGAAAAATTGTACAATGCATGGTAATGTGTATCATACGGTGAGGAATCTTTTTTATCCAACAATGTTTCGTCAAACAATATCAAAGAAAAGAGTATTATATCCATACGACAACCTTCGGGAATTTAGTTGAAGTTATTAAACATGAAAGGCGTTTATCCTTGATGTTGACGTATAAAATTTTCACGTATTTTGTTAACATACAGTTTCCTCAAAAGAGTCTTTTACGAATCTGCAAAAAGTAAATATTACTTTTCCGCAAATTATCTGGTCTTTTATCTATCATTTTTATTAAGGAATGATCTACATGATTATTCATTTTCTGACTGTACACATTGTTTCCTATTTTGTTAATTATTATAATCATTCGAAAATTTCAGACAATATAAACATAAGCATTGTGGTACGATTATCAATGAGAAAAATTATCCATCTAAGAACAAAGGACAAGTATTTCAGCTTAACTATATTCAAGTCTACTTTGATTTGAAATTCATTTTATTGTATTTAAAGTATGTGTGTTTGACACAGTATAAATATGCAAAAAATGAAATGAGATTGTCGTTTAAATATTTCCAAGAATATTTTCATCCTTTTATCTATTACATCAATATTATTTTATAACATTATTGAACTGCTAGTATATAAATAGAAATATACTAATGTTTTTTCTTCAATATATGCGGAAACGTACAGCAATTGTTCTAAAATACTACTTAAAATAATTGCGGAAAAGAAGGCTGAAGATTTGAGGAAACGTAAAATAAAAGCGGAAGAGGAATGTTGAAATGCGGAAACGTGAAATGCCCTTCGATACCCTATCACATTGACGTGTCAAATCAAACATAGAGCTCTAAATCTAAATTAGTCATAGTTAGAAAAAGACACCGAACATATAAAATGAGTTAAAATAGTGTTCTGTTTTCTTGGACCATATAAATAATGAAGGAGTGGATTCAAACCTCTTTTCTGTTCAGATTTAGGATTGGATATTGTGTCTGATATTTGAATGACAAGTAAAGGCTATTCCTATATTACATTGTTGACGGAGTAAATACTTAAGAAGTGAGCGATAACCTGCATAATGGTAAAATGACACCGTGTCCATTTCGCAAGGGATATTTACGGTAACACATGAATTCTGTTTTAAGTTACTGTATACAATCATACTATATACATTTCAAAATCCTTCTTCTATTTGCTTTGGGGGGAGGGGGGGGGGGGGGAGTGCACTGATTTGTCCTGTATTTTTACACTTCATTTTTTGTGTTACCAAGTAAGATAAAAATATTTAAGACCTTGAAGTTCTTCATATATACTCTTTCTTTAAAGCCTAATTATTTACATTTTAAATTTAGGATACAGTAGTTTATCGATCTTTAAATCTCGTCAATCGATTAAAAGGAGAATAATCATGGTAACAATGAAAACACCGAAAGAATCAAAAGGAGCGAGACCTAGTACGTCGACAAGGTCAGTGTCTCACCGTCTAGCTTGCTATTATGACAGCATCCCTTCGACGATGTTTTTCCTGTTAAAAATTATCTTCACAAGCAGAAAATAATTCTAAACAGGTATTCATTTGTCACATTTACATTTAATCATCAATCTAAATAAATAAAGAATATATTTTGTTCCAATTACGGACCCTGATGAACAACATACCACTGAAACATATCAATATGCTTTAAATAACAGTCATGCAATGCAATTATAGGCTGTTTTACATTCTTATTGTTACCAGCTGCAAAAGTAGTCAGTATTAGTGTTTGTGTTAGTCCTAAGTACTACATTGTACATTGATATACTCAATTATGGGATAGCAAATTCCAGTATTTCTTACCTACTACTTATAATAAAGGAAACCATCGTACATGAACATTTTCAATAACGAAAGAACTGAAATCGAATTTCCAAAAAATAATTACCCTTGCTTTAGGGAGATATTATACATTTATTTTGTTTGCTTTAAAGACACATGAAAATTAATGCACACAAGAGAAAATTTCATTTCCAGATGCCCTAGCTTGAGACAACAATAGTTTTTGAGGGTGAACAAAAATTCAAATGACCCTGATGCAAGGGAAATGAAAGCCGCTAATTTGACATCAGAAAACAGAACATTCATGTAAACCTGCAATTCATTTTGTTTTCATTTTGTATCAATCATCAATGGTTGATCACATGGCATGTTTTTATTCTGTTTTTATTATACGCCCCTGTAATAAGCTTGAAAGGGTTATTGACAATGATTTTGCTGTGTAAAAAATCATTGAAACGCTAAATAGACCGTTCAACTGTACAAATTTGATGTTTTGTTCAGTGTCACGTCGAAAAATTTCAACAAACCAAATACTTATTTAGCTATCAAGATATTTATTCAGTGGAATAATTTGTATTGGCTACAGCATTGTTTCAAGAAACCTGATAATTTTTTTTTTTTTATATGCATCCATTTCATCTACAAATATTCCAGTTCTTCTAAATACTGCTCTCTCAATAAATCTGTGTCAAACTATATTTTTTGTAGCCATTACAATTCCCTATTCCGTTATCAATTTTATAAAATACACTAATTGCACATTCAAAGAAATGAACAAAATAGTTAGATTTTGCTTGAAAATACTCTTGTTCGTTTTGTAGATAGAGTATACCGTTAAGTGATCGATAATCTGAGGGGGTTGAATAGCGCCCTGTTATCGTAGAGTGTTTCTTTACTGTAATGTATATATATTGTCAATATATTTGTATACCCCACTCTAATAAGTCAGTCCGTCAGTCCTTCAGTCATCTTGGTTTCTTGATGATAAACACAATACGATTTGAATATAGAGTCGCATATAATAAGTGGGAAATTCCTATATTTTGACATCACTATATCTAAAATTGTCCGAAATTGTCGCAGTAATGGAGTTTCCGGAAATTTACTGTAGCACCTCTCATTGGGTTGGAAATCATCTTTAATATATGTCACACAGAATGATTGAAAATTCCTAATTCATTTTGATATCACTGTGTTAAAGTGACTTAAAAATGATAAACTCGTGCAAAAACTATATTCCCAAATACGCCCGATTATTCCCCCTCAAACCTTGCACTCTCGTCCGGTCGTGAAGGTTCTAATTTATAACAATGTTGGGTCAGAATGGCACGTAAAATCCGATGCATCGGTCGGGGAAAGTGCCACAACCGACGAACGTTAAAAAATCCTACAACAACTATTTGAGGCGTCCGTGTGTGTCCTGTTGCAAGGCAGAATTGCTTCCTCTATCTAACAAACCCTCATTTTCATAGTCCACATTTCCAACCGATTTCCGTCTTACAACTTTGCCGTTCATACATTTAAGTTGTAATGTTAATTATTTGTTTTCGTCCAGGATATGCGTGTAATAATTATTGCTGGAACTTGCTTGTTTTGATATTCTTATATTTTTCTTTGTTACAATTTTACGTTTATAAAGAAGCGTTGTATGCATTTGTACTGAGTGATATTCGTGTACATGTAGTATAACAGCTTTGCATAACTTAATATTTGGTAAACATCTGAGGTAGCATAATTGTAAATATATACCAGAAGGGACAAGTGCATACAACATCACTCAATGAGGCATATATAAAAAGAAGATAACATTTCATTCACTTTCGTTAGAAACGCTCCAATCCAGGGATGTATAAATATGTAGATACCTTAAGATCTATATGACAAAAAGGGACATAAAAAGAATAGCCAAATACTTTTATCGGCAACTTTACCTAATGGAGTTGGAACCTTAGTATATTAATATTTTCATAATTTATCAATGGGCTATTTTAGAAAAGTTATGTTATTAATTATATCAGTACCGAAACACTGACTCGTGGTTGAGCTGGTGATACCCTCGGGGACTAACAGTCCACCAACAGTTGAATAATCGACTAAGTGTTAGCGAATGAAAATGACACTTTATAAGTTATGCTTCCGAGCCGCTTTTCCGAATTTACATATGGATGTTTAAGTCGAAAACATTGATATGCAGTCAGACTGTTTATACTGATTAATTTAAAATTCAGAGGATACACGTACACACATTCCTGCCGTAATCATCTAATAATATTGAATAGGATTTTACCTTGGATTAAACCAACTTTACATTTTTTTGGATTTTCAAAAATTTATATCCTGTCGTTTGTTAGACATTTAAGAGTGTTTTGTAACATAAAATCAAAAACCAGTTATGTTATCTGGAAATAGTAAATTTTTCACTTTTCAATAATATGAACCGATTTCAGACTTGGTTTTCATTTAAATGACACCAATTTTTCAATTGATGGTTACATGTTGTTACTGATTTTTTTTAAGGTGTTTCTGAAAGGAAAAATTTGATATATTTTCAAGCAAAAACGTACCTTTAAATTCCAATTGTTACATGCGTAGGTATAACTGTAAACATTCGTGAGTTGAACTTAGAATCGATCACTTCGTGGACAATCATTATGGAACTACCAAATGAATTGAAAGCCTTACTTGTAACTATGAAGTTGGATGGAAAAGAGCCGGAATGGAAATTCACCGCCGGCTCTGACCAGGTCTCTGTACAGCTCACTTGGATCAAGGCTAAGGAACCGGACACATCATCCAGGAAACCTGAGCCGGCCCTGAAAAAGAAGAACAAGCCACCATCTACCAGGAGACGCAACGCTAACCGTTTCGCCCAGTGGATGGACACAAAGACGGCCGTTGTACCCGCTGCTGCACAACAACAAAACACCGAAGCCAGCGTAGACCACAACAATCAGACAGACGCTAAGGACACAATAGTTGGTAAACTACTCATACCAATTAAGTACAGAGGTGAACCAGTGGGAGTTGTCATCAACAAGGATATTGTCACCAGTCCTTATAACCCCAAGAAGGCATGTCATCGCCTTAGTTATTACACGTCGACAACAGAAAGAGGCAAGCGTAGAAGGATCGACTTTGATGAAGGGTTTGACACCGACGACCCTGACCTACTGACTACACCACCGCATACGTCGTCCAAAAAGGCTATAGAAGCTGCAATATTGTCAGAACGGCCAAACACTCCGTACCAGCAACAACATCGCAGTCGGAGTAAGATGAAAGCAAAAAGACAGGCAGATCCAAATCTGTAACTTACGTACATTAGTCCGCAATATCCAAAAGGATAGCCGGACCCTAAAACCAATCATCATCATCATAACTGTAAAGAATTATAAAAATACGAAACGAACAAACTGAGCAAGCGTCTTTATTTGGAAAACCCTTTCGAATTTTCGGGTCTTTAATGCTTTTCAACTTCGTACTTTATTTGGCCTTTTTTTTACTTTTTTTATTCGAGCGTCATTGGGGAGTCTTTTGTAGACGATACGCGCGTCTGGCGTACAAAATTTTAATCCTGGTATCTATGATGAGTTCTTTTACAATTATTGAAAATAACACTTTATAAATTTCGTACTTCGAGCTTTTCTGGATTTACCTTCATCATGAATTCTCAAACCTTAACATTTGAAATTCAGAGATGTATAAATACGTTGACAGTTTAGAAGCTATATGACCAAAATAAACCTAAAATGAGTAGCCAAATTAATATTCAGTCAACTTTTCAAAAGGGAGCTGGAACCTTATTCCCATAATTTACGCATTCCGCATAAAAAGTTTGTAAAAAGTAAAATAACAAAAATACCGAACTCCAAGGAATACATGCCAGATCATATTGAAGATGGGACAACTACAAACCTGAGACTAAAAGTTGAATAGTACTTTTTCATTTTTTATCAACTAATACAGTGTTACAAGTGATTCACCAAATACTGCTATTTAGATCATTTAGAGACAATTGTGTAATTATATACATTTTATATGGTAAATTAATTTTAATTGGGTTTTAACGAGGTAATGAATTCAACACAGAAAACACAGGACTGATAGTATAGAATACTGATAATCACTGGGGTGTTGATAAAATAATATGACGATATCTGTGCCAATTGTGGGACAATATTATACGGATTTTCTAAGATAAACTGCTTACTCTAATGTTCTAATTTTGTATATTTTGTAGGAAATGGGCACAAATGTCCTGTTTATGTGCGTAATGATATTAATACCTGAAGTCTCATATGGTAGTTCAAACTGGCAATACGGTGCTATATTAGACGCCGGAAGTAGTAGTACAAAATTGAAAATCTATCGATGGCCTCCTAGAACTTCTTTAGATTCTGTCCTAGACATCAAACAAGTGGGTAAAAGTGAAAAATATTCTCCTGGAATTTCAGACTATGTGGATAAATTGGGAAATATTAGCAATTACATTGGAGAGATGATTGAAAGAGTGAAGGAAATTATACCTAAAAATATCCACAGTACTACATCTTTATACCTATTAGCAACAGCAGGTAGTATTAAATAATAGTATATATGTTGTTTTTTTTTTTTTTTCGGAGCATCGATTTTCATGCCTCTTCCTGATTACAGATTTCATTTGTTTGAATATATATCACCAAGAAAATTACTTTGACATTGTGCTACAGTTATATATTCGTTTCAACACCAGTCGCTAATATATAGTCTATATAACATGTTTTACTTCTTTTTCTAAGGTTTACGCGTCCTTCCAGAAGACGATGCAAGCAATTTAATGAAGTCGATTCGAAATGTTCTTCAAAACAAGACATTAAATCCATTTGTTTTTAATCCTTCAAATGTGAAAATTTTATCTGGAGAAGAAGAAGGCGTGTTTGCCTGGATAACCATCAACTACCTCAAGGATTATTTTGGTTCTGATAGGTGAGTTCGCAGAGTACAATCATATTTTCTAAACTCAATTTAATTTCACATCACCATGGAACTTCGACCAAATATGTAGCGCTGGATATCCCATCAAACAGAGCTTGCTTAATTGTTTATTCATTAATCAATCAAAAAATTGGGGAGAGGCCATTTTAAAGAAACCCAACATATCCCGGATGAGTTTTTTATAACCACTGGGTTAATGCCACTGTTGGGGGAGGTTTCTTTCTCAATGGTATCACCAGCGAAGTAGTCAGCACTTCTGTGTTGATATGACATATCATTGATATGGTCATATTTATAAATTAACGCGCGTCTGGCATACCTGGTATCTATAGTGAGTTAATTCAAGTGTTTATAACTGAATTAAGGAACTAAGGAGTTTTTACCCAGGAACAGTTAACCTTAGCTATATTTGGCGAAAACGTTCGGAATTTCGTGTTCTCAATGCTCTTCAACTTCGTCCTTGATTTGGTTTTTTAACTTTTTTATTGGAGCGTCACTGATGAATCTTTTGTAGACGAAATGAGCGTCTGATGTTCAAAATTTATTCCTTGTATCATTGATGAGGTTTTTTTTATATTCTATTAGCCCGGATATTAAATTATAACGGTTTTAATTTTTCGAGGTAACTCACCTACTGGAATCAAGTAAAGCATTTTTCTTCACTCTTTTCTACAAGGTGAGTTTTTTCTGGTTATCAAAGGCGCATATATAACCTCCACTAGTGTTTATTGAGACTTTGATGGTTTATGAACATATTTTATTTGAAGAAATTGTAATAAAGGTAAAAAAGGATATTGACCAAGGAATAAAAGGGGGAGGGCAATCCGTCAACAAGATGCCGTTTGGGTATTTTCATCTTTGGGTTGCTTTCTCTTTGACTTATAAATATATACATGAAATTTCTTTTTATTCATAAGTTCATGTTCATAATTTTCAAATAATGCCGTCGTAACGATAACTTTCATAATCATTTATTGAGCAATCCTGTGCTTCAACTATCATTTCATACGCATTTCATAATTTTTGAAACTTCTATTCATTCTATTACTCTTTAATGGCCTTTAATCTTTTTTGGGACATGCTGATAGATAATCCTGAAATTGGCAAAAAAAACATTTAAACAGCATTCTATTCAGATAGCATTGTTTTGATAACTAACATCTGATAAGTCTTTTTAATGATCATTCGCTCTCATTACACATTCTAGTTGTACACTTTCATCGACAAGCGTGGCAAAGATGCCTGCTGTATCAGATTAATCTATACAGTTTATTTGATGGATGCCAAATTTTTAGTAACCAATTAATGATATTTTGATTCTAAAGTACGTTGAGACATTCTATAAAGTTAAGGTTATGTCGAAGTAATTCACTGCACTATAGTAATCATTGGTCATTATGAGGTGTTAATAACTTGTTGTAAAAAACTTAATGGATTTGATTTGCACACTGTCAACTTGACTAACATACAAAAACCTAAATATTGATAAAGCACTGGGTATTTTTTTCAAATTATCATCCTACAATAACTTTTTATTGACTAGTATATGTATAAAAGTATCTGAATAAAAAAAATTGAATTTTTAAACGTTATGCAGACAACCATCAAATAAATTAAAATGACACAAACGAATATATATGTCTATATTTACACATACAAAACAAAACTTTGTGCCAAAAAAAGTCTATTAATCATCATCTATTTATATGTAGTTTTATAAAAATTGAGGAAAAGATTATGATAGTAAACATCTCGAAATCAGCACGCTGTCGTTTATTTTTCAAAGTTTACTTCCCGTGAATCAATGAGGACATTTTCGTTTAGTTTTTAAATGGTTTAACCTTTAAAACAATAGCATACACGATTACATTTCTTTTTTAATTCAAGACCTCAATCACAGGCAGTTGGTGTTTTAGAAATGGGTGGTGGATCAACACAAATTGTATTCCTGCCTGATGGTCCCTTGTTAGCCAACATGTTTCAGGTCCGTATAGCAGGGAAAAGATACAGTCTCTATGCACATAGTTATTTGTTTTACGGACAGGATTATATGATCTTCAGAATAAGAAGACACATCATACAGCAAAGTCCTCGGTCGTCATCTCTTCAGAATCCATGTATGTTAACAGGTAATATCATACAGCTCAATCTTTTGTCGTCCCTACAATAAAATCCATGTATGTTAATATCATCTTAAATCAATCCATGTATGTTAACAGGTAATAACACAGCTTAATCCTTTGTCGTCATATTAATAAAATTAATATATGTTAAGAGATAATATCAAAGAGCTTAATCGTGTGTCGTCATCTCAATAGAATCCATGCATGTTAACAGATAATATCAAACAGCTTAATCCTTTGTCGTCATCTCAGTAAACTGATGTGCTTTTCTGTTAAAAGAAAGATAAATCAGTGTTAAAAATGTCAAGTCACTCATTACAAATATGCTTTATAACATTAGTCTACGTCTGTCACATCTGGATATAAAATTATGTAACGAAATTTCTTCAGAATGATTTCTCTCGTACAGCGCCCTCTAAATGCAATTTAACTTTATAATTCAAAATATGTAAAGTCTGGTTATTGGATGGTATTATACGTTATTTTATATAATACATTATAAAAGTCGCTCTGCTTGAATGGCGAAATCTCAAGGATCGAAAGTGGACCACTGACCACTAAAAAACTAAAAACTTGCAAATCTTACAATAATGTTCACTTACCGACTACGCATGGACAGTTTGTAAATTCAATAAAGAAAAATTAAAACTTCTAAGATAATTTTTTTTAAGCCTATGAACCTGATCTAACCCAGCTTCTCGTCGAGCAATGAGACAGGATCCCATGCTTAGCTGATTTGAGCAGTAAAGATAAATGTATACTAGATATATAGACCATTTGATCGAACTGGTGTTTTTGAACTATATTTAGCGCATGGTCTAATTTCCACATTTCAGCATTTCTAGAACTACAATGTACTGACTTCTCCATTCTTTTTTCTATAGTCTTTGAGTTTGATTGTTATTTTTAAATCCATTAGTAGATTTTAATCAAACATCAGCTATGTATTTTATTCCTACGGAACACTATGGGTTAAAAACTAAATAATGTTCACATCATCATTCCATGTCAATAGTTCCATCAAAATAAAAGAAATAAAAACCTAAAAACATTTTAAAACATAATATGAGTTATAAATTTTTTGTAGGAGATAAAACAGAACTGATATATGAAGGAGATACAAAAACGTTCATTGGAGAAGGAAATCCATCAAAGTGCCTTACCATTATCAATTCCTTCCTTAAAAGTGCCGCCGACGATATGTGTTATCCAAAACCTTGTGCAATTGGACGTACATATCAGCCTTCAATAGGAACGGACAATTTCTATGCTGTAGCAGCCTTTACATATGCACCACATTCACTGAAAACAGTAGATTCTTCAGGGAAACTTAATATTAGTCTACTCAATGATACAGCGTTTAACTACTGTCAGAAGGTATGTATACTAGACGTTTCTATTCTACTTTAAGTATTCATTGCCTTAGGGAGAGGACGTCATTAATGTTGTTATAACTTGTGTCCAATCCCTTTTGCTACTTTTGCAATTAAAATATGTTTAAACTTATTAACTGAAATGGTTTTAATCTTTTACTCGGTCTAACCAATTAAATTTAGTATCATGTTAAGCTTCTTTTGTGCTTGGTGTTCTGGTTAAACTTATAAATGGTAAAAGGGCTATTCTCCGTTCTGACAGTATCAATCTATTCAAAGTTAGAGTTGTCTAGATTTGCTCATGGTCAAGTAGAAGCAACAGTAATTTACAGATGTTCAAATCTCAGACCTTTATTAAGACGATACAAATGAAGGTAACCGTTACAAAAACACTGGGAGAACGCACTCAATTGGCAATTGCCATTTAAATTACAGAAGTTTATTTTCATACAATATGGCTTGTCTTCCTACATTTTGACAGACAAATATGCAGAAATCAGTACTTTTATTTCATTTCTATCTCATTTTCTTTTCATACTACCAAGAGTTAAAGGGGAGTTAGCTACGATTTAGACAACAAATCAAAATACCATTCTTTGTGTTTCAAGTATTAGTATTTAAGCGGAGTAATATTTCGTTTTAAGCAGTCAGTTTGGCCCAATTTTGTCAAAATAAGTTAAAACACATCGCTGATATACACTGAAATGCAGTCAAGTTTAGCGATTAATAATTCATTGATAACATTCTGGCGTATCACAAACAAACAACTTGTAACGTCTTAGTTCATTGGCCGAAAGATTTAAATACAACAACAATTGTAGTGTGCACGTGAATTGACACAGGTGACCGACAATGGAATGTACTACGTTACTACGAACGTAAAAAACAATGATTTTTGGTCGAAATAATTAAATAAATATTTTGTGAATTTCAAGTAGTGGGGTCGAAATATTACACTAATAATTTGTGTTAAGTTATATTCTTTATGCATGCAGCACTTGTACCGCACTATGAAAAATATAAGGATAAAATAAAATACATGTGCCGCTTTTATACGGATGAATGTATGAACCACTTTAATTTCTTTCATATTGACGCTAGGTTATTATCCTTACAATGTCGTAGTTACTTATAATAAGGATCTCATAATACTGATCCATTTCAAATTTATGATGGGTTGCACATTCCTCTTTTATTGTTTTCATGCTATAAAACGAAAATAAAGTAGCTAAGCGTTTGGTCATTCAGATATAACGTGTCATAAACGAGCAAATTGTCCCCGAAAGATCGATTCATGTGTGCACGTGAATATAGATGTACTATGCAATGTACTATCATGGTCACCACGAAATTCAAATGAATTCAGTGAAGGCATGTTGGTGTAAAAAGGATTGAAATGTTTCATCGGCGAAGATTTTTTCTTTTGCATGTGTGGAGTAAAAAATAAAATAAATACTTGTGAGAAATGTCGTAGTTTATAAGGAACTATATAAATGTACTGTTTTCGATTTTAATTGGTTGAAAATTTATCCTTCAATTTCATACCCTAAGAATAGAGCTTTGCATAACATTGTTGAACTATCCGCCAAAATAACGTGTGGCATGCGTGCGTATTTAAAATGAAATACAAAATCATACATGTATGATAAACTTATAAACGAAATATTAAGAAATTAAGGATGACTACTGTAAAAGTATGTACAAAAAGGGAGTCACCTTTTATCAATACATTTAGTGAATAAACACACTGTTTAAAACTGATTGTTCTCTATGCAACTATTTAAATATTTACAATATATAATTTTCAACCGAGGATAGCAAAACAGTTAATTATAAATTAAGGAAGTGTATCGCTGGAGTTTATGAAGTACATTTCCTTCCACTGTGTCATCGTTTGCCATCTCCATTTTTTCTCTAAACAAAGCATGGTTGGTTACATGTTCTGAATTTACTTAGAATTTCGGGATTTTTTTTTTCAAAATCAAGTAAACTGAATCAGAAAAAAAATCACACTATCCTAAAACTTATGAAAGAATATGAATAATGAACATGACAGTTTATAACACAAACCCATTTACTATAAAAATCGAGCAATATCTTTAGTATGTAATTTGTTTATTTTTGTAGTTAAGTACGGTTTCATTTCAAGTACAACGTTAATTCATCAAGTCCATTGAATAAAAGATAAGGCAGGGTGAGCAACTTGACAAAAAAAAGGCAGGATGACGATTTATGTAAAAAAAATCAAGATAAACTAATAAATATAGTCAGGACCTAACAGACTGAAAAATAGAAAGACAGGGCAGAGATAACAACTAAAAAAAAATGCAGGACAAAATGTTTCATCCAAGTTCCCCACCCCCAATCAAAATAAAATGGTAGCTCCCTTAATCCAGAACCAATTGAGAGGAGACAGTTGAATTAAATATTTTTTTAAAGTTTAAAATTTTACATGCACATGTATAAAAGCGAGAATTGCCATGGGATAATCAAGAACACAATCATGTACGTGAATACGACGATGGAAGTTTTTAACGACCTTGACCGGCTACGTGAATACTGATCCGTCCATTCAGCTTTATAGTACGCGTGTTCTTTTTTCGCAGGTGTGAGGTCGAAGGTTTGAATTGACCAAAGGAAACGATCGTTCCTTAACGAGTTAATCTAATAAAATTTGTTTGACTGATTATGTTGTACGACCTTTCGCTAAGCTTGGCCGCAGTTCAGTGTATTATTGACTTGCAAGTCAATAATTTAACATCAATTGAATTCGTATTCATGTGACCTTCTATTTATTAACTCCTTAGCTGGAGATGGGTTACGCATGTGACTAGGCGTTTTCAGTTATTAAAAGGAAACAAAAATCTCAACATTAAAACTGAAACAAGGGTAACCATTTCATTGACTGATTCGATCCACAAAAACATTCTTATATAAATAAAAAACGATGATTAACAGATTTTCTTAACCTATAAGATGAAATCAAACAGACGTGATCGTTATCTGTTTATATTTTTTTTATGTCTTCATCAGGTTATATGACCGTCGGCAGTCTTCGGAGGTCATCTCTATGGTTAATTAGATGGCGTCTAGACTAAAATACACACGAAATGCTGATACATATTATCGAGTCCATGCATTGTTAATAGTTTATTTTAGACTTTTTGTAATTTGTATATTCGTTTTAGCATGCTATAAATCAAATATGAGAATTTCAGTCAAATCGGTGAACATGAATTTGATAGCTAATGCTCTTTTAGTGTATTTGAAAATGGGGTAGTTTGTACTATCATATGTCAATAATACATCAAAGAAAACACAAAAAAAAAAAGAACAAGATCAACAAGCAGTCTTAAATAGAGACAAGTAGTGTCTATACAATATTTCATCACTTTAAAGGAAATGTGAATAAAATGACAGAGTATATAGAATTGAGACTGCAATTAGTTTACACATGTTCAAATCTCTAAAATTTATTAGGAAGTGAAAATAAAGGTAACAAACAAAAACTGAAGGAATTGAATAACTCCAAAAAAAGTTGCGTCGATAGGGTAATTGTCTCCTGGTATGCATGCATCAACCGACATGCGAATTAACACTCGGTCAAAATATAAATAGACGATTGTCCTTTAACCCAAAATTCCTTAGAATACAATAACATTAAAACATGAAAACTGCTTTCGAGACTTTCATGTGTATATTTGGTTCAGTATAAATAGTAACTCCATTTTAGTTTTGGTAATTGGAAAAAACGATACATAGAAAAAAACAAAAAAATGTATATATTTATTTTGGTTTAATACATGATATAACTATTTAGGTCTGGTATTATATAAATCTCATGTCACAGGTCACTTTCTCATTTCGCAAAAAAATCCGAATATTTTTTATTTACAAATCTATACGTATATCTACGAATTGATTTATTTTTTTCCTAAATATATTTGTTTTCGTTGCAGACTTTAACCGATGCAACTACAAATACGTCTATCTCAGAAAAGTACGGTTCAGCATATTGTCTGATGGGATTATATATCCCAGCATTATTATCTGAAGCATATGGATTTACTTCAGAAACTCAAAAAATTACATTGATCCAAAAAATTAATGATATATCAGTTGGTAAGTTTGATTTTTTTTTATATGAATTTCATTGTCCTTTTGAAGAAAAAATGTGCTACAGAAAAAAGTCAATTTTCCTATGTATAATCAAAGTATGAGGATACAAAGAAGCCAATCAAAAATTGTAAATAGGATAACAGACATAAAAGAGAGGCGAAAGATACCAAAATCATATTCAAACTCAAGAGTTGAAAACAAACTGACAATGGCATGGCCAAAAAACGAATAGCCATAGACAAAAGAAAAGGCCGTATAGTGACCTTCAATTATTTACATAACTATCTTTATGGATAATGGTCTCATTGGCAATCATACCAGATCTCCTTATTCTTAAAATTGGTAATACTCTTTCATTATTTTCACTTTGTTCTAGTTGGAGTTTATGTATCATTAATCGTATTATTACTACGAGGCATTGCTTGTAATCAGCTTGTAATCTTGCTCACTATTTCACAAGTACAATATTGCTTGAAAACGACGACGTTAGCTGTAGTTATACATGATCCATTTAGCATTTCAAACCTTTTCACAATACAACTGTTTCCGAAATCATTAAACACAACTCACAGGAGTCTTGAAAATTCAGGAAAAGAGGACGGGATTAGCATCTTAATTAATAGTGGATTTGAATTATAGTTGATATTCTTCCTTGTATATCTATATTTTTAGATATCAAATTGAAAACTTTTTATAATGCTATGTTTTGCACTATGTCCGAATATTTGTATGGAAAAATAAATTTGTTTAAATAGTCGTCTCATTGGTAATCATACCTCATCTTGTTTGATAATTCTATAAATTAAGTACATGGCATTGTAGACAAAACAACATTCCTAGTTTGATTAATGTCTGTGTGTCTTGTACTTTTTGTATGATTGTGCAAATTTAACATATCATGACTGTAAACTATAGCTTTAAAATGTTTTTTTATGATTTTAGATTGGACATTGGGAGCAATTGTATACGAAACAGAGGTGTTTGAAACCAAATGTGGCACTTCCGCAGGACATATCTCATATCCTGACATTTGTTTTATAAATATTTTGCTTTTATTAACGTATCTGATAGATAGATGATAACAGACAATTCTTTTATTAGTTTCTATATAATTGTATTATTTGTAATTGTAGTCTGTAAATAGAATTAGAAATGTATATGAATTATTAAACTTTACACTTTCATACATAACTATCAAATAAAATATATGCCTATCCTAGTTGAATTGCCTAAATTCATTATATATATATTTTCAGGGGGGGGATTCTTTTATTGATATGCGCTCTTATTCTCTTTATATGTTGGATACTGATACAGTCAAAGCTTTTTATGTCCCGCTAGTCAGTGGCCTATGTAAATAGTGTTACTCATGTCCGTCCCAACAATTACCCGGACTTTTTTCATTATGTCTGTAGATGGTTAAAGAATGAGTTATAGTCCGCTATAAATAAAAAGAGATGAAGGGTATACATACTTTAATGCGACAGCAACCCAATGACACAAAGGACCAAAAGACATCTAGAGGTCAACATACAATTAATTGTTAGACGTTACATACAATGTTGGTGACGATTTCATGCCAAATCGGATTAAAGTAAGAAAAATGACAAAAAGATCAACAATTTTGTGTTTAAATGACTGCTATCATTTTACATTCACTTTTGTCAATAAACTGTCCAAAAGCTAAAGAGAACAATCATATTTTTTGAGTGAAGACCTGCTTTCGGGTAATCGTAAGTATATGAAATTAAATATTACTATACCATTTCGAAGAGGAAAGTGAGGGCTTTGGGATTTCATATTTGTGTGAGGAATTGACCCCATTTTCGGATCTGGTAAACATTGAAAAGTGATTGAAGACACCACGAAATATATCAGCCCCATACGACACAACAGATGATAATGCATCTATAGCGAGATTATATTTTATAAAATTGTTGATAGTACATACCTTTATTTAAAACAAGTTTAGAAATTACATTCAAAGCAAAGAACCTAATGTTAACGATCGAATGTCATTGAAACTTTGACATTGTTACCATAAACCAAGCCCAAAGTACACTGTCACGACAGCGTTGAAATAAAACATGTTCTATAGTTTATTGAAAATTACTTTAATATTGCTGACTCGGTTCAGTCATTTTCCGAAGAAATGGTGGGCTCACCCTGGTTTTTAGCTAGCTAAACCCTCCACTCGTATGGCAGTTGATTATAGTTCCGTTATATTGAAAAAAATGGGTGAGCAACCCAAACATACATAATAGGTTAATGTGACAATAATTGAGATAAGATATGCCAATGCAAAAAAAAAACTGCAAACAAAAATATAATGAAGAAAAAACGTACGAGTCCAACGTTTAAAATTATCAGAACAAAAAGAGTTTGAACAGAACAATTCAAAATCAAAACTGAATTGACAATTGAAACCCTTTAGTTTAGTACCGTCATCTACTTTAAAAATATACAATTTATATTTAAATTGATCAATAGATAAATCATATCATTACCGAATCACTGGGTACATAGTACAGCTTCTTCCAGGGTTGTTGTCTTAATTTTAAACATATTACAAAATCAATCAATTAAATAATGTCTTGTAGTACTTGCTACAAGGCGGATGGTACCCTCAAGAACTAAAAATTCAAAAGTTAAACAGCCGCGGTACCGAACCATTGAAAGAAAACAAAAACATATGATACCGATTTTGGCAAGTTCGACACATGTTTCAAGACTAACTATATATATTATTTTAGTATTCAATGAATGCTATAACAATGAATGTCGAACATAACTGTACTTCTTGTATTATATATCATAACAAAATATTAAGGTCATAGCAAAATAATAAACGAATATTTTAGCCTCGGGCATCACTGAAAAGACATTAATTTAGACATGCGCATCTGGTGCAGTAAAATTGATATCGTTATTGGTTTATAATCACAAAGTCGACACCTCTACAGTGGTTAGTCCCCGGTGGTATCACCAGCCCCGTAGACAGTTCTTTGGAACTATCATTCAAATAAAAGAATGGACCTCCATAATGCATAGCTCAGATTCCTTGTCAAAGAGACTCAGTCCTCTCAGAGGCGAAAGATACCAAAGGGACATTCAAACTCATAAGTCGAAAATAAACTGACAACGCCATGACTAAAAAAAAAGACAAACAAAAAACAGTTCACAAAACACAACATAGAAAACTAAAGACTGAGCAACACGAACCCCACCTAAAACTGGGGGTGATCTCAGGTACTCCGGAAGGGAAAGCATATCCTGCTCCACATGTGGCACCCGTTGCGTAGCTCGTGTTAGTACAACCCCGATAATAAGTCTAATTTGGTAGGTCTTATTCAAGGAAAGGGGGACGGGATTGTAGTTACGACAATTGGAACATATCTACCATCATCTGCGAAACGGATATTCCATAACGGTCAACCAACTCGTGATGGCGTCCGGAAAATTTAGGAAGGGATGATTTCAACTTCACCACTTGGAACTCTTGGTTTAATAGCTTCTTTGTGAGCAGCAACTCTCTATCAAGGAAATCATGATAGGAAATACAAGCCCTGAAATATAGTATCACCTGGGAGATATATACTCCGTATGTAGGCGTTGCTGGAATTGTACTACATAGAAATGGAAAGGTCACAATTGGGCAGCTGAAATCATCTCTTTTGTCGTAAAGTTTTGTTTTCAACGGACCCTCACTGTCAATTTCTAGATGTAAGTCAAGATATGAGGCAGACTTAACTGTATCTGTTGTATCCTTTATCTCAAGTACGATGGGATAGATGCGTTCAACAAAGTCACCAAATTTTGAATTACTTAGTGAAAGAACATCATCTATATAATGGAAAGTAAAGTTAAAGGATACTGCTAACTTCTTTTCTTTCTTCCTAAGGAGTTCCTGTATGAAGTCAGCCTCATATGAATAAAGGAATAACTCGGCAAGATTGTAAAGGTTTGGCTTTACTATAAGGTCTTTTTGTTTTTCGTTTTATTAGCTCTTCAATGTTTGTGTGAGGTTTTGATTTTCAAATATTTTGTCCTCGAGCATCACTTAAATGACATTACTTGTCGAAATGCACATCTGGTGCAGTAATATTGCTAAAGTTCATGTTAGGCTACATAAATAACAATTTCAAAGGATTCATTTCAAATATTAAGGAAAAAAGAATGATTGAATAACTAAGTGTCATACTTTAATCAAAACAGTAATCGGTCTCTTCGTGTAATGATGTAAATCTATGCTATAAAATTTTGAACATTTACCACAAGATAGAACACTGAGCATTCGATGTTCATTGCCTCTTTTCAATATACATGTACAAATGTATTGTAGTGATTCGGACCAAAAAAGTGCAAATGTATCTGTATAATGAATTTATAACTGATGACAAATGAAGTTGTCTTTCTTTTATCAGATAACCAAGTACCCGTTATGTGTTATATTTTGTATTTAATAGTTTTGAAATAACTTTTATGACATATGAACACTTTATTTAGATTTTTAATTGTTTTGATTAAGCATAGATTTATTTTTATATAGAGTAAACCCAAAAGTATGAACTTCAACTAAACTACAGTTTTGCTCGGGTCAAACAATATTGAGTTTGTTCAAAATAGTCCAATACTCAGTGAATACTTTAATATAGTTTCAATGCATGAAGCATTAATCTGTCAGAAAACTTCATCGCAGTTTAACATATATAGTAAAGAAAACACATAGCAATTACACTGATCAATTAGGATTTGGAAACAAACTTCATTAAGCTTAATTTGTATTTGTTTTTTTATTGTTTTGTCATAAATCGAGTCGTTGTTTTTTTTATTTGAATTGTTTCGCATTTTTTCATGTCGGGGACTTTTATAGCTGACTATACGATAAAGATTTTACTCATTGTTGAAGGCCACATTATATCTTATAGTTGCTTAAACACACGTCAATTAGACTGCGTTGGATAGTTGTTTCATAGGCACTCATACCACATCTTTTATATTCATTAAGCTTATATTTAACAGTGTCCCATATTAAGACATGGGGCGCTGGCTTGTTTTCTAGATGCATGTTATAATTTGAGTAAAAGAAATGTGCTTCGGACATACCAAATATATATATATATATACTATTTTCCCTAAAATGGTCAAATGCAAAAAGCAAATCATTACTGCCTATCATATTCAAACACTTGAGCCAAAAAAAAATTAAGAATTGGAAAAAAACAAGAATTGGAAAAATATGGACATTCTAATTGATAATAGTGTGCAAAAAAATTAAACTACTGTTCTTTACTATACATGAATACTTTGATTGTTTAAAATTCTACCACCAAGCAGATACGGGTTTTCAGATACGCCTGTACCAAGTCAGGAATATGATAATTGTTTTCCATTCGTTCCGTTGATGATACCGTCTAACGTTTGATTTTGTCAGATTTTATGAATTTCCCCTTTTTGAATTAACCTTTGAGTTCGGTATTTTTGTTAATACTTCTTTTTTTTACCAAACTAAAATTCATATTTGATCGTTATGAATTGACATACAAAAAAGAGACTTCATATCCTCTATTGTTGTCTTATTGAAGTTTTACAACACAGGTCGTTTTCCATATAATAATTAAGTTGCATGTTGTATATCAAGTACTAGTATTGCTAACCCCAAAGGGTGTATTTTTTTTTTTTTAATTTTCTGCAAAAAAATCTCAATTATCTATCATGCACAAATAGAAATATAATTTAAACAGTTGATATATCTTCAAGTGCACAGCACGTGTTTCAAGAACAATCTTCATTTGGGTACGTTGATGACCGAGATGGCAATTGAGACCTTTAATATCATCCTCATAAATAGTTGCGAATGTACATATTGATGAAGTATTTAAAATTTTCGAATACACAAGCCTCTTCTTTTTTTATATAAAATCAATAACACAATGATTAATATATGATGGTCAGGTATAAATACCTACCAAACTAGGCTAAAAGGTAATCATAAACCGACACCTATGGTACAGTGCACGAATGATAAAAATCAAAAGAAATGAGACAGGCGTATGGAAAATTATGAACGTACAAGACTATATAATAAATAGCAAACAATTGAATTTTTAGCATTATATGACTTTAATGAAAATGAAGACATAATCTCAACAAAACAAGATCAAACAAAGACTTTTTAATATTTTGAACAAACATTCTCTGTCAGAGGTAACTAGAGAAGATTCTCTCAGACAACGGAATATTTACAAGGTATTTTCTATCAAGTATAGATAGTTTGTATTAAAAAAACACACAAAGAAGTTAAAGATGATTGTTTGTTCTAAAAGTGTCACGTAAAATTCTAGATTACTTACTTATTATTCTATTTTCCTGGTAAAAGATGACAACTATGCTGTAAAGAATGTTCTATCACAAATTGTATTATAAGTGTAAAATGGTATAAGTGATGTCAATAAATCTTTATAACTTAACAAAAAATTATGATGTTTATTCATTTGGGATTTACGCCACCCTGTGCAATGAATACACTTTATAAATTTCGTTCATCCAAAGCGCTTTTCTGAATAAGCGTCGTCAGGAACGGTGTAACCTTACCATTTCAAAGTCAGGGATGTAAAAACCGTAGACACGGTAGGAGCGTTATGACCAAATGGGATCTAAAATGAATAGCAAAATTCATCTACGGTAGACTTTCCCTGAGGGAGTTGGAACCTCGGTTTCTTAATGTTTTTTTTTTATTTATCAACGGGTAATTTAAGCAAAGTATGTGAAAAATCATGTCAGGACTGAGACATTGCCACTTAGCTTAGGATACATTCGGGGACTAGCAGTCCGCCAACAATGGTATCGACCCTGTGTTTGATAATAAAAATAACAGTTTATAATGTAGGTGCGTCCGAAACACTTGTCTGGATTTACCTTCAGCAAGAACACTCAAACCAGATATTTTGAAATGGTTTTTGCAATTGTCTTCATGAAAAAAAAACAGTTCAACGTTTAAAATTATCAGAACAAAAAGAGTTTGAACAGAATGAAAAGAGTTTTAACAGAACTATTAAAACTGAAAAGTGATAATTGAAGCCCTATAGTCACCTTCTTTATAAATATACAATTTACATTCAGATTGATCAAAATGAATCATACCAGTACCGAAGCACTGGATACTTGGAAAAGCTTCTTCCAGGGTTATTGTCTTAATTTTAAACAAATTACAAAAGTAATCATATAAAGCATGTTTTGTAGTACTTGCTAGAAGAGAATTGTACCTTCGAGAACAATCGCGGTACCGAACCAGTAAAGGAAAATAAAACATGTAACAACGAGTTTGGCGAGTTCATTACGTGTTTCTGGATGATAACTTTCACAAGAAACGCTAGATATAAAATGTAAAGTCATAAACAATAAAGTCTAGATAAAACAAAGAAAGTCGAACATAACTGTACTCCATTGTACTAAATACCGGGGTACCCAAAAAAATATTAAGGCCAAAGCAAACTAACTTATAGTTCAAAATCCTTAAATTTTATATACATTTGAGATAGTTTAAGAACGAATTTGACATGAATCTCATGGTTGGTAATATAACTACAAGTTATAAAGTTCTAAACCAAAGTGAATTTCTTTAAATGACAAGGTAATGACTAAATATACATCACTGTCCCAGGTTAGGGGGAGAATTTTGCGCCATCTAACTAGTTTTACCTCGCCACATTATGTATGTGCCTGTCCCAAGTCAGGAGCCTCCTATTCAGTGGTTGACGTTTGTTGCTGTGTATCATATTTGTTTTTCGTTCATTATTTTGAACATTAATTAGGCCCTTAGTTTTCTCGTTTGAATTGTTTTACATTTGTCATCTCGGGGCCTTTTATCGCTGACTATGCGGTATGGGTTTTGCTCATTGTTGAAGGCCGTACGGTGACCTATATATATATATATATAAAAAATATAAACAAGTCTAAATTGAAAACAACATTCAAACCTATGATTGCGTTGGATAAAAACCGCAATTTTTAAACGTGTGCATGCAAAACAAATTTCTTGGTGGAGGGGTCTAAATACAGCACAAACAACATTTTCCAAAAGACCAAAAAAAGTGAAAACGTATATTTTAACAAAACGCATTTGACTAGCAGGTCGAACAACGGATGTCCTTAGACCCTGCTGACTGCCATTGGCGATTGCCAAATAAACGGATCACCAGATGTATCGAAATGGATCTTAACTATTAATTTAATACCAAACAGAAAACAATAAACTTGCGGAAAAGATGGTATACCGCAAACAAAAGGTGCAAAAATTAGTACACCATATCCGGATTTCGACAATTAATGTCTCTTCAGTGATATTAGGAATCGGAACGGTATTTGGAAGGCCATATAATTTACCTCAATTTAGGATAGACTCTTGAATTTTGAAGAGTCGAAATAGGATGAACGAATCATATAAACCCGAAGGCAAATATAATACAAGCACAAACGAAAAATATAAACAAGTCTAAATTGAAAACAATGTTCAAACCTATGATTGCGTTGGATGAAAACCGCAATTTTTATACGTGTGCATGCAAAACAAATTTCTTTGTAGAGGGGTCTAAATACAGCACAAACAACATTTTCCAAAAGACCAAAAAAAGTGAAAAAGTATATTTTAACAAAACGCATTTGACTATATATATATATATATAATTATATATATAGTTGATAATTTCTGTGTCATTTGGTCTCTTGTAGATAGTTGTCTCATTGGCAATCATACCACATCTTCTTATTTTTATATATAGCACCAATTCTTAAAATTGCTTTTTTTAACACTGCAAAAAAAAAGAAAAATCTTATTTACCAAAAAGAGTTACAATTCAACGTTTTCTTTTCTTACGAGCAGAAACTCAAATACTAGTAGATCCACATGACAAATTTTGAAATGTTTTTAGTCAATAACCCTATGATTAAAGCAGGTTATGCACTTTTGTAGTGGTCATATACAAAATCTGTATTTTCCACTGTCTTTTCAATACTAGGCTTTGAAAAATTCGTATCTTAATGTTAAATACTTGGTTATTTCTTCTGAGAGAACTTTACGTTTCATTCCATGTTTCTCTACATCAACACGGTCTGGATGGTAATGTACAACCGCTTTTTGTAAAATTTTCTTTAAATCGGCACGCGCTATTGTACCACTATCCGGTAATCCTTCAAGTTTATTTTCAGGATTTACAGGTGGGAATTTCTCGTACACATACTTTAGAAACTCGTCAGATTGCGTATGGTTTGCATCGTTTTGTTTCAAGTCTTTCATTTCACTTTCAAGTTCTTCCAAGTACTTTTCCTTGATTTTTTGCCATTCCTCGCTCTCTTGTTTTACTGCTTCTTCTTGATATCTGGCAAGAATTGCTTTACATTCCTCAAACCATTCTACAAAACACAAATGTGACAGATAGTATTGTGTTCGTAATTTTTAACAAATGACGATGGCTTTTGTTTTACCCCAAAAAATAACTTAGTTTTAACCTATCTATAATTGAGTGTGTACAAGGCCAAGTTCGCTTCTTCTTTTTGGACCATAAAATCACAATAAACAGCTGCGCCATGAGCGCATGATACGCCCGTCGTCTTGTGTGTGAATTTTTATGCAATAAGCATAAATAGTTTCTGACATACGGCGTGACATGCGAAAACCCCCCTTTTTTTTTTACAAAAAACTCAATATCTCTAAAATAAAATTTTAAATCAAAACCAAAAAGTATACAGATCTTTAGATTAATATAACTAAGAAGTGTGTAAAATTTTAAGCAATAATCATAAATCGTTTTTGAGATACGGCGCGACATGTGAAAACCCCCCTTTTAAAAAAAAATTCAATATCTCAAAAATAAAATTTTGAATCAAAACCAAAAAGTATACAGATCTTTAGATTAATATAACTAAGAAGTGTGTAAAATTTTAAGCAATAATCATAAATCGTTTTTGAGATACGGCGCGACATGTGAAAAACCCCTCCCCCTTTTTTTACAAAATACTCAATAACTCAAAAATAAAATTTTGAATCATCACCAAAAAGTATACAGATCTTTAGATTAATATAACTAAGAAGTGTGTAAAGTTTTAAGCAATAATCATAAACTGTTTTTGAGATACGGCGCGACATGTGAAAATCCCCCTTTTAAAAAAAAAAATCAATATCTCAAAAATAAAATTTTGAATCCTAACCAAAAAGTATACAGATCTTTAGATTAATATAACTAAGAAGTGTGTAAAGTTTTAAGCAATAATCATAAATTGTTTTTGAGATACGGCGCGACATGTGAAAAAAACACACACCTATTTTAGTTACTAAGTCCCGTAACTCAAAAAGTTTTAATCTTATTTTCACCAAAAAGTATACAGATCGTTTGACCATCATAAGAAACAGCTATATAAAGTTTCATGAAATTTGGATAAGTCATTCTCAAGTTACGGTGCGACATGTTTACGCCGGACAGACAGACGGACGGACGGACGGACGGACGGACTCCGGACATTCCGGACAATCTACACTGGTCAAATTTGTTCGTTACTTTTCGCCAAATTAGTACTGCGAAACAAACCCAATACTTTAAAAACATGTTACTGAGCAACTTTCCCAAAGAACTCTTCTGTATTTATTTATTTCCATAAAGTTTTCTGTATTATTTACCATAAAGATTTTTCATTTGTCATATTGTTTCTTTAACAATTTGGTAATTGAAACACCTCAATACTGAACTGCCCATTATCTTTTTCAATGTAAAAAGGACCGAATACCTTCACCGTGGAAAATTCTAGGATGCATAGAGTTGGCTAGCTGCATCGCTCGCAATAGATATTCCTTAGCCTTGTACTTAAGTTTGAGGACTTTGTCGTACACCTTTCCTATCCGACTAAGAGCTATGGCTTCCATTTCTACTTCTGTTATCTCTCTGGTCTGTAATACAGCTTGTTTATGCCAATCAATTACTTCGTATACCATGTCAATGTTCAGTTTTTCTTCGTCCATCAACAATTTACGGAACAGTTCTTCTCCTGTTTAGAAAAAAAAACTAACTAAATAAATCATTAATGTCAAACGAATTGTGTATGATCAAGATCTGAATTACTGCCAATATTTACACATTTATCATTCAAGATTTTATATAATCGCAATTACAAATCTAAATTAACTTAACGATTCTTATTGTCTAGCATTCATACCAATCTGATTCGTTTTAAATAATAAAATTGATAAAATAATGATCATTGCAGACTTAAATTTCAAATAAAAAATTCAAAAGTCTAAATCGGAGCACAGAAACATACCACTTAACGGAATAAAAAAAGGAAAGGGTGGCTAAAAACAACAGAGTATCAGACCTCTCACTTACATGATAACCTTTAACTGTCAAATGACGTAAATTTTATAAATTAAACAAAAAGCACAAGCACTCATGAAATTAAAATGTATACGAACTATAACGTTTTCATCTATTACAATGAGCAAATACAGTATCTTCTTACATTTAACGGGTCAAATTTAAGTATCGGATGTGTAATTAACTGGGGTATTATACCAGCTTACCTATCTGATTTGCTTGCATTGATTCAGCTAGACATTGATGCATAAGAACGTCATTTTCCAGTACCTCTGCTTCTTGTTCTATATGAGGTAACGGTATAGTTCTACCACACGAAGCAGCTTCTGTTACAGGGAAATAACATTCTCTCATTTGATACAGTGCAACTTTGAAGTTCTTTTCTTGAATAGCAGTAACTCCAGCATGAAAATGACAAGTTGCAATATGTACGTAACACTCAGCCTTAACTGTAGGTATTTCAATCTTTTGGAGGATATCATAAAATACTTTAACACGTTTATCAAATTCAATAGCACATACTCTTCCTTGTTTCATGTCTTCCCAAAAGCTAATGGCAGATGTACACAGATTGTCTCGCCAATCATTAGTTTTTACATCTCGTGATTTCAGCCATGCTTCTGAGATATATTGGAAAGCCTCTTTGTAAAAATGAACAATAACAGACGATTTTTCGTTCAAAGCATCAGAAACGTTTGCTAGTCTCCACGACACCATTCCCAAATTTTTAGCAGACGAACTTTTTTCATCTGGATTTTGACTTGTATTGTATGCCTTATAATATAGGTTTAAAGCTGTCTGGAGACGTTCACGCTGAAGAGCAGGAGTGAACCTTTGTGTTGCTGTCGAATATATTTTGTTTCCTTCTTCACGAAAATGAATGGACGGAGATGAAGACATAACTAATTATATAAACTGGAATGAAAGACAAGCACTATAATATAATGTACAAAATAAATTCGTTAAAATCCGACTAACTGAGACATCCAATGACAAGTTAAAAATGTAATTGACCAAAACATTCTAAAACCACAATATGATTCAATTTTAACTCGCACGAACAATAACTCCCGAAAATGAAAACCGAATAGCGCAATCTTATAACAACTACTCTTAATGGTAAAGTTGAAGTTTTTAGAATGTTCTTGATTGGCTTATGAATAAAAGGAATTGTGTATATACCCCAATGAGACAACAACACAACGAAATAAACAGCTGCGCCATGAGCGCATGATACGCCCGTCGCATTTTTTAAGAATAAAATTCAATTACTTAATTGAAATTTACAAAAAGCTAAAGGGAGGTTATCTTAATAGATATAAACCAGTCACCAAAAGTTTAATGAAAACTGCCCAAAGCACTTTAAAGGTATTGTCTGAAAACTGGAAAATCGCCCCTTTTTATGAATAAAATCCCATAACTCGGAAATGTAAAATCTAAAATTTATAAAAATCAAAAGGGAGCTTATGTCAATAGAAATAAACAATTCACCAAAGTTTCAAGAGAACTGATGAAAGCATTTTTGAGTGATTGTCCAAAAACTGGAAAACCCCCATTTTTTTAATGAATAAAACCCCACAACTCGGAAACGTAAAAATGAAAATTTATAGAAATCGAAAGGGAGCTCATGTCAATAGATATAAACAATTGACCAAAGTTTCTTGCAAATTGGTGAAAGCATGTTTGAGTTATTGTCCGAAAACTGGAAAATCCCCCTTTTTTAATGAATAAAACACCATAACTCGGAAACGTAAAATCTAAAATTTAAAAAAAAACGAAAGGGAGCTCACGTCAATAGATATAAACAATTCACCAAAGTTTTATGCAAATTGGTTGAAGCGTTTTTGAGTTAATGTCCGACATGTTGACGACGGACGGACGGACAGACAGACGGACGGACGGACAGACGGACAACGGTATACCATAATACGTCCCGTAAACGGGCGTAAAAAAACATCAAACAAAATCTCAAGGGCAACATACAGTACTACAACATAAAATACTTGTCATAGATGACCTCGAGTATGTATCATTTTTCTAAGCCACAATTCTCGTTTTCCTTTCTTCATTATTAACTTCATCGAATGCGACTTCGGGTTTTTAACTTGCCATAAGTATAAGGACGGTTGCCACTAGTGAAACTGTTTACCCTTCCTGTTAACCCAACGATTTTTAAACTGGGCTTGTGTTAATTTCTGTGTTATGTCTTAGTGGGTTAGACTTTCATTACTGCTAATACTAGCATTCCAAACTTTCACATTCAGTCATGTTGGGTCAAGATTACAGAATTTACATGCACCCATGGTTTTTTATGATTTTTTTTTAATATCTAACGGTTAAAAAAAAAGAAATTGTCGCTCCAATATAGGCCCGAGAACACATTTATTTCGTAGTTTCTTTAGACAATAAATGCAAATTTAAAAAAATTGCACCTGACCATTAAAATTTTTACAGTGTGATAACTGATGTACTACTTTTGAGACAACACATGTGATATATATTGTAAGGTCTTCACCAATGAGACTTTACGCCTTACATCTACATAAAGGGAAAGTTTTATGAATCAACTAAGAAAATCATTGCTTTCATGGAACGCCACAGCTGTCTTATGTGAAACTCTGATATTACTTTATGTTGATTTATTATTACTTGATGATATTTTGTCTTTACTTAATATGGTTTTGACATTACGTAATGATGTTTTGATATAACTCAATATGGAATAGTCATTACTTAATGATATATCGATATTACACGATATGGTTTCGTATTGACTTGATATAGTTTTGTCATTACTCAATATGGTTTTGTCATTACTCGATGTGGTTTCACCATTATTTAATGTGGTTGTGTCATTAGTCAATGTGGTTTTAACATTACTTGATGTAAATGTGACTTAACGTTATGTAGTTGTTTCATTACATGATGTGGTTTTGTTATTTCGTAATGATGATTTGCCTATTCTTTATATGGTTTTAACATTACGCAATGATGTTTCAAAATTTGACGATTTTACACTACATGATGTGTTTGTATAACCCCGTGAATTTCGGTATAACTCCGTGGATTTCGGCACGGGTTACATTAAAGTCTGTAGGTCTATAATCGACACTGTGGCTGCTTTAAGCGCAAGACCATATACAATATATACAAATTTATTCACATGTGTACAGCTTGAGAGCTAGGGGAAGACTGCCCAAGCAACCGTTTACAAAACATAAATTAAGTCAAAGATAAGGGTATTAAAACATTATAAAAGGTTCTCATAAAATATACATTATTGTCCAATCTTATGTAATAATAATCGGATTATTGTCCTCCGGCTAAACTTGGTAAAATAGCGATAATTGCTTCTTTTGTAGTTCGAGTGTTAGATACATGTATTATCTTTAGCACTTTTGACAGCCATCGGATTAAGTTGTAAAATAGTAAATCTATAATCTCTTTGGGTATTTGAAATAAAGAAACATTATATTTAAGAATAAAGAAACATTTTAAAACAAGAAATGTTCAATTTAAAACTAAAACAAGAGTTCATAGAAATATCCAATCTAAAACGAGAGTTCATATAAATATTGCATCTAAAACGAGAGTTCATATAAAGCACTTTTCGAATTATGGTAAAAGTTCCCAATGTCACTTTTCTTCCGGTTATATTCTCCACTACTTCCCCGAAGTGCTCGTCCCGAGCACAAATTATTACGTTTCGTATTAGTGTTGGTAATATTAATCCATCTGTGGGTAATTCGTCTTTGGGTAACTCATCTTTCTGGTTGCTGAAAGTGTGTACATACTGAAAGCATCACGAACATAGAAAATGCACATTTTGGACCTTTAATAAATATACAAAGGGGTATGAGGAGGGGGACTAACATAAATATACTCAAACATTCTGAGGAGGGGGACTCCTGACATAAATATACTAAAATATCTATTTCACCTTCATAATTCAAAAGGTACATGACTCCATTATATGTATAGATATATAAACAACAAATGGGGTGCTTTTATCGTAATCATAAAAGTAGGACTAAGTATTCAAGGAATTGATTTAAAAGGGGGGGGGCAATAATGATCATTGGCCCGTTTATGATTCTAATAAAAACTACACTATATTTGAAGGTTGTCGAAAACACTATCCAGAATTTTAACCGATTATCAGATTATCAGTGGCTATATTTGTACCTTGTAAACAGGTTTTGATCAAACATCATAATGTAATTTTCTGACATGTAGTATACAGGTCGTCACTCCTGTACACCCATTGGAAACAAGATCACAAGACAGGTGACGAGTCCATCCTGCACTCCTGTTTCGGACCAAAATTGGTAATCTAAAATGATTTGATAGACCACTGATAATCTATGTATGTAAAAGGCAGCTCACACGTGTAAATTCAACTACTTATAGCATGTTGCGTGAAATGAACTAAATAATAACGACAACTAAACAATAATTGTGGTTATTTGGTATACTATAGTCAGTGATCTTTGTTCAAAGTTACAACCTTCACTTGTGTAATACACTAGGTTCTATGATACAACAAGGATACACAGACTTTAGCTCGATTTCTTGGTGGTTTCTTACTGCCAGTGAAAAATATCTCAGAAAAAATATAATATTCATCTTAGAATATACATTATTTTCCAATCTTATGTAATAATAATCGGATTATTGTCCTCCGGCTAAACTTGGTAAAATAGCGATAATTGCTTCTTTTGTAGTTCGAGTGTTAGATACATGTATTATCTTTAGCACTTTTGACAGCCATCGGATTAAGTTGTAAAATAGTAAATCTATAATCTCTTTGGGTATTTGAAATAAAGAAACATTATATTTAAGAATAAAGAAACATTTTAAAACAAGAAATGTTCAATTTAAAACTAAAACGAGAGTTCATAGAAATATCCAATCTAAAACGAGAGTTCATATAAATATTGCATCTAAAACGAGAGTTCATATAAAGCACTTTTCGAATTATGGTAAAAGTTCCCAATGTCACTTTTCTTCCGGTTATATTTGTTTCATTATCTGATGTGGTCCTGTCATTCTTTGATGTGGTTATCCCATTACTTGATGAGGTAAAACCACGTGACCAATTCGGAAAAAAATATGTTCTATTTTTAAACAAATTTCAATATATCGTTTGTTTAATGTGCTTTGGATGGGTATCGCTATCCATTGAGTTAAAGTTCAAATTTAAGTTCGAGTGGTTGTTCAGATTTATTTGGTATGAAAAAGGGGAACGGCAGACAATAATAAGAAAAAAGTATCAAAAAGTTTACAGTATTTCGGACATAATTGGGATATCCCAAAACCACTTGGTCCTGTTGTTTTTATCCTAAGTTCTCAAACGGAAGCAGTATTTTTGTAATAAATTTGTAAAATATTCCACGGAATCCTGTGTCTCGCCTGATATTGCTGCTGTAAGTGTAAAAGCGTCATGTTGATCGGCTGTACATTTATATATACATTTATCGGAAAAAAAAAAATAAAAAAAAAAGGTTTTTCTGTAGATGCTTTTTCTTGAAATTGAGGAATAACTCCTATACAAGTTTTAAATCACTTCATGGAGGTTTACAAATTTATCATGTCAAAACAGTTAAATTCGGTTTTATTTAACTAAAACAAAACTGTATGGTTTTCAACAATGAGCAAAACCCATACCCTATAGTAAGCTATAAAAGGTCCCGAAATGAAAAATGTAAAAACCTAGAAACCTAACGATCTATAGATAGATAGATAGATAGATACTTTATTCTCTAAAAACTAAATACAAGTTTTCAGAGAAACATACAATATAAATACAGATACAATAGTCGAGGTAAATAAATCCAGTATGATATTCTAAAAGTAATATACATGGCATACATGTTTAGTAACATGTATAATGAAAGATTAAACTCAATAGAAATTAAAAAAATGGAGATGGAGACGCCGACGCCACTATCGACGACGAAATATAGGTTTGTTGTGTCTCACTGCCGCTACATTGATGTCGCAGGCTCGACACAAATCAAAAGACTTGAACTTTATTGTTAACAAATGAAACACTTCAAATCAACTCACACTAAAGTTACAGGGAAACGGGGGGAGGGGGCTCGGACTAAGCGACAAAGCATCAATACTATAAAATAAGAATTCTCCGAATTTTTTTTTAGCGTAAATGATCATTTGAACTTATACGAATATCAATCTTTTACGTATTTGTAATCAATTGAATTCCCTGATCTACCTCGCACTAATTGAAAAATAAACTTTTTGGAATATCTGTTTCATATGTGACGACGGACATGTTCCAGTGATCGTAACCATAAAACCGTCATCTTTTCCTTGAATGTAAACTACCAAATAAAACCAAATCACTGGGTTTGTACTTTCTTGAAAAACACGACGGGTGCCTTTCTGGAGCATCCGAGATCACCCCGATGGATTTATATTACCCAGTCATACCGATCTATTGAAACAGCCAAATGAAACTGTTCTGTATGCCACCGCAACTGAAAGTTGGGGGGCATATTGTTTTACCCCTGTCCGTCCGTCCGTCTGTCCGTCCCATTATGGGTATATAGTTATTCCGCATAACTCCTCCTACAGTTTGAATCCTAGGAAGTTTTCTCTTTACTGGCTGTTTGTACATATATTGAAGGTGTACATGTGGTCAGGGTTTTTATTTTTATTATCTTTTGCTCTTTTGGGAGATAATTGAACTTTTTTTTGTCATTTTTGGGGTATAAGCGGTTAAATGAGTTGAGTGCGGGGGCATCACTTTGTCTAGTTTACATTTTTTTCTCGTGTTGTTCTGTTACACAACTGTAACAGTCCGATGTAAGGTTAGGATTTAGCGCTCACATACATGTTAAACTCCGCCACGTGCAATTTCTTTATGTACCTGCCCCAAGTCAGGAGCATGAAGTTCAATTGTTGTCGTTGTATAAATGTGTGTCATTTTTTTTTTGTAGATTGTTTATTTATAAATAAGACCGTTTGTTTTTTCGTTTGAATTTTTTCACATGTTGCATGGTGGCCTTTTGTAGCTGACTATACGGTGTGTTGAAGGCTGTACGGTTGCCTATATATGATTTCTTACATCCACTGCATTTAAACTCTGATGGATAGTTGTCTCATTGTCAATCACACCACATCTAACTTTATTTCAACTTCTATGTTGCGTTTTGTATACTGTAACAGTGTTTATCTTTTGTACGCATACCCCGGAGCCCTCTTTTCGGAAGCCCGAGCAAAAGTCCTTGTACTGCGATAGAAAATTTAATTACGAACTCATGTAAGATAGCTCGAATTTCAACTCAAAATCTTAATTAATCTAAATGAGACTTAAATTCGAATCTTACTCAAACTCTACCTCAAAAAGTGACTCAAATTTAATGTTGTAACTAGAACTCTACCTCAGTTAAATGTGACTCAAACTCATGTCCAACTCGAGACTCAATGCTAACTAAAACTTTAATTCTAATAATGACTTGAATTCGAAATCGAAGACTAACTCAAAGTTTAACTCAAACAGTAACCCGAACTTTAATTTGAACTCTAATTCGATGGATGGCCACACTCATCCAAGGCACATACAACATGGAAATCTATCTAAAAATAGAACAGGTTTTTCCGAATTGGTCACGTGATTTTACCTCATCAAGTAATGGGATAACCACATCAAAGAATGACAGGACCACATCAAATAATGAAACAAACACATCATGTAGTGTAAAATCGTCAAATTTTGAAACATCATTACGTAATGTTAAAACCATATAAAGAATAGGCAAATCATCATTACAAAATAACAAAACCACATCATGTAATGAAACAACTACATAACGTTAAGTCACATTCACATCAAGTAATGTTAAAACCACATTGACTAATGACACAACCACATTAAATAATGGTGAAACCACATCGAGTAATGACAAAACCATATTGAGTAATGACAAAACTATATCAAGTCAATACGAAACCATATCGTGTAATATCGAAATATCATTAAGTAATGACTATTCCATATTGAGTTATATCAAAACATCATTACGTAATGTCAAAACCATATTAAGTAAAGACAAAATATCATCAAGTAATAATAAAACAACATAAAGTAATATCAGAGTTTCACATAAGACAGCTATGGCGTTCCATATTATGACTTTCATGCCAAGCTCAATTCGAAACGGGGCCAATTACAACCAACAGGCCATTATTACCGGGCCATTATGGATTGAACCAATCCTTATGAATTTTGTGTGTGTGTCAAACACTTAATATTAAGCACATATCATGCCAATACAATTACTATAGTAAGTAATGATATTTGCAATGTTAATTTTCTATGACCGATAATTATTTATAAATTCGTATAGTTTCCTAAAAACGGCCAGTCATCATGAATTTTGTGTCGTCTTGAAATGACTAGTTTTATCAATCGTGGCCCCGTAATGATGCAATAGATTGTTACTTTAAAGCCAATAAAGGGCACTTTTTCGATTTAGTTTAAACTTTGCATTTTTGCAACAATTTTCTTTGATGGTTACTAAATGAAATCACGGTCATATAATGCACACAGTGCATACAAAGGGTGTTATGTCAGCTGTGAATCAAGGCCGTTCGTTATTGAGTACTGAAACTTAAATACTTTTTGTAAATTAAAGTGATACTAATTACCTACAATAAAAAAAAGTGATAACGGAAAAGGCACTTACCTGTGATGGGATCGAAACAGGAACAAAATTGATATCAAATCCGTTGAAATAATAGTATCTGAAACCGAAAGTAAAATGTGTCTAAATATAGGTCTGACTAACAACTTTTATAAATTGATTAAAGATCAATGAAAAAGTATATCATTGAAATTTAATGAATCTTAACAAAATATAATTTTTCCACAAGATGGCGGATGTGTCAATGTCAACAATATTCGTTCCTCCCAACTGAAGTTGTTCAGGGATTAACGGTCATTATTTGGGTCATTTAGAATTTCTGAAAATGCAAAATTGTTTGAACCACCTTCTTTATAATCAAATCGAAACAAACAATACTTTAGAACAACATATAATAAATGCAATCTTAATAATGTCATACAAGAATATATAATATTCAGTGAATATTTTTTGATGCTATAGGTGGTGCAGTATTTTGTCTTTCCTGTTACCATGTTTAAAAGGAACTCTTTCCGGCTGTCTTTACAAAAATTTTACGCTTGCTTTTCATGGCTATTAAGGTAGTTTTCAAGAACAAAACGTCTATATATTTTATTTCTGTGCATTGATTGTTTGTTTGTCAATTTTCCATGTTGTACTGAAAAATACCTCCAAAAATTATTTTTTAATGATTATCAAAATAACCACCAGCAATGTAAGTCTTAGATAGCAATTCAAAATATGCAGTTTTTGTTTCTCTTTCTAGTAAACAACAAAATCAAGTAATTCCCTCGCATAGTTTTTTACTTTTTTTGTCCTCCGCGAAACGCGTTACGGGGGACATGGAAATACCGGGCGTCCGTCCGTCCGTCCGGTCTTGAAAGCGCTCTCACTTGAACAATAATCGCCAGATTTTTATGAAACTTATATCATAGGTTTATATCAGCAATGTCTTGGACGAGTTCGAAAATCAAGGCCGATCAATTATTTTTAAAAGAGTTATGCACCTTGGAAACATTAATTTTATAGAAAATTGCATCGTTAGCGCTCTCATGTGTACAATTCTTGCCAGAATTTTATGAAAACTATATCATAGGTTTTATTATATAAGCAATGTCTTGGACTAGTTAAAAAATCAGTCCCGATCAATTATTTTTAAAAGAGTTATGACCCTTGCCTTGGAAATATAAATTATATTGAGAATTGCATTGTTAGCGCTCTCATTTGTACAATTCTAGCTAGATTTTTATGAAACTTATATCATAGGTTTATATCAGCAATGTCTTGGACGAGTTCGAAAATCAGTCCCGTTCAATTATTTTTAAAAGAGTTATGCCCTTGGAAACATTAATTTTATGGAAAATTGAATCGTTAGCACTCTCATGACTTTTGCATACAATTCTTGCCAGAATTTTATGAAAACTATATCATAGGTTTATATAATCAATGTCTTGGACGATTAATAATATTTAAAAGAGTTACATATGCCCTTTGGAAATATTCATTTCATGAGCGCTCTAATGTGTACAATTCTTGCCAGATTTTTATGAAATTTATATTGTAGGTTAATATCATCAATGTTCTTGAAGAGTTCAAAAATCAGTGGCGATCAATTATTTTTAAAAGACTTATGCCCCTTGAAAATATTGATTATATGGAAAATTGCAATGTTATCGCTCTCATGTGTTCAAATATTTTCAATTATAAAGGAATTTACATTGCATTTGCTCTGAAGCCTTCATTTCTCTTAAGATATTAATAAAAAGTTTTAAAGAACAAAATAAAGTGTTGTACCTTGGATAGATAAATTATGTGCAACGCGGGGGACATTGGAACTCTATTCTTTTATTCATTTTGTTTTTGGTAACAAGAACGCACGTTAACGATATATATCAACATATCAAGTTCTATCCTGTTACCCGTTTTGTCTATCCTGTTGCCGATGGCAGTATTGCATTTTGTTTGTACTAAATTGCGAAGATAATAATCAATGCACTTTTTACAAGTATAATATTGTTGTCATTAATAGATTTACTGGTAGCAGCATGGACAGGATAAAAGCATGTACTCACTTATTTTTTTCATTTAATGTCTTGAATTTTCTTTTCTTTACAGTTTATGCAAGAAACGTGCCGTGTTCAGTTTTTAGGATGCGGGGTTTTTAAAATCATCACTTAATAGTTCATTATTCACAGATAGAAACAATTTAACGGTTGATCTAATATCAGTAACAGGATGGACATGCATTTCATGTAGGCTGATTGAATTTAGATTGTAGAAAACATGTTACATAAAATAATAAAGAAACTGTGATTTTTCGTTAAAGTTATCATAACCATTCTAGAATAGTAATTTTGCAGATTTTATAGAAAAAAAAAACAGGAAACAAATCATTTGAAATGTGTTACCCTGACACTGTACGAAGATAAATTACACAAAAATCTGACTTAGATATATATTAATCTTATCAAAAGAGATCTAAATCATGTTTATTTTTGATGTGCAGACTCATAAATCCTGCACCTACACATAGACTCATAAATCCTACATTTACACCTAGACTCATAAATCCTACATCTACACCTAGACTCATATAAATCCTACACCTACAAACTTTCATTTAAACACTTACAACGGCACTTTTCATTAAAAATGAAAACAAATTAAGATAGGTGTACGGAAAATTCGACATTTTTTATAATGACCTATTTATCAGCTGAAAAGGGGGAAGGGGTCTGTTATATTATTTAAGTAGCTTGAAATAGTTAATTTGATAACGATTTTTTTTGTCTGATAAGCAGTCATTAGTTAGTGATAATATGAGGTGAGATTGCCTTGATGGTTCACCATGACCTCCTATAGTCTTTGTTTTTAAGCTGATGCAGCTGATTTTAGTCATCATTTTTCATTTTTATCCTGCTTTGACAATCCCTGAGTATAAAGGAGAGGCGAAAGATACCAAAGGGAATATTCAAACTCACAAGTCAACAACAAACTGAAAATGCCATAACAAAAAACGAAAACGATCAAAAGACAATCAACAGTACACAAAACACAACAACATACAAAACTAAAGACAGAGCTACACGAACCTCACCAAAAACCGGGGATGATCTTAGGTGCTCGGGAAGTATAATAAGATCCTAAACCACACGTGAGTTTTTTTTTTTTATTAATTTTTTATTGTATGAATATCTGACAAATGAATGTAGAAAAGTGGACAAAATAAGCATTTAAATGAAAATAATATCTCGTAATTTAACTTGAACCTTCGTGAACAGATTGTCCCCGATCCCCTTGTGTCCTGTTATTTTTATTTCAATCCCACTCGAGGAAGAGCAACTGAAAATATCACATTGCATATATCACTAATTGTATGGTTCTGGTCAAATGTACATGATTTCATTCCTTTATTATCTGTAATTTTGAAAAGTGGGACGAGTGACGATCGGAAATAAAACCGATTTATATGAGATAAAGAAATATATACATGTATGTGCCTGTCCCAAGTCAGGAGCCTGTAATTCAGGGGTTGTCGATTATTGCTGTGTAACATATTTGTTTTTCGTTCATTATTTTGTACATTAATTAGGCCGTTAGTTTTCTCGTTTGAATTGTTTTACATTTGTCATTTCGGGGCCTTTCATAGCTGACTATGCGGTATGGGCTTTGCTCATTGTTGAAGGCCGCACGGTGACCTATAATAGTTGTTAATTTCTGTGTCATTTGGTCTCTTGTGGAGAGGTGTCTCATTGGCAATCATACCACATCTTCTTATTTTTATATTAAGTGTTACAAAATGTTTTCTCGTTTTATATTCCTGTATTCATTTACTAAAAAGAGACCATGTTTGTACAAAAATATTGTGTTCAGCATGTAACAACAGACACTCAACTGGATAAATATTTGTGTCAAATGTTAGCCTTTATATAACGGTATACGATTCCGTACAAGTTCAATCGACCACGTATGTTATATCCAAATGGACTAATCATTACAATCTTTATTTACCAAAAAACAACATTAATGAGAAAAAGCTAATCAAACATACAAGTATGCATCATAATAAGTATTTTCCCACATTATTTCTAAAAAAAATAAAGGCCTATTTTAATATAAGTTGGAAATTTTTGCATTATTGTGTTTCGTGTTAACTTTTGTTTTTTTTCACATTTAAAAGTAAAATTAAATGCAAGAAGAAGAAAACATAGTATTGAATGTGTAAGAGCATGTAGACTAGTTCCAGAAAAAGGCAAAGCGAAAACAGAAAAACTGACAGTTCGAAATGTTTCTCATGGTTGTTCCCTAATTATTTTGATACATTCATGTTTACATGTATTCTTCTTGTTGTGTCTTTGTCATTATTTTAAAGTTTGTTTGTCAAGTTAAATGTCAAGACAAATAGCCAGGATTTCTTTTCCTAAATGATCATAAATAAAATGTAGATGTAGGAAAAAGGCAATGGGATAACAACCCCAAAACAAAAGTTAATCAAATCTATAGACAACTAGAGCTCCCATATGATCTTAAACGATAGACTGTGATTATTGAACTAAATAGTCCAGTGAATACACATATAGTGGGAAGAAATCTAACAGAGACCAAAACATTTTGCAACCAAGACAAATATTTCAATACACTAGAAGACGGACGAGGAAGACTACTGACTAAATGACAAGATTCCTTGCTTCAAAAATACAAAGACAATAGTATTAGTTCATCAACCTTACCTTACCTCTGTATCTTTAACCCCCTTTGTAGAGGAACCATACGCTAGTATGTAGAACTTGTGATCTGCAATTTCTATGTACAGTGATGCCTCCACCAATATTGCAGTGCTCTATATATACAGTGAAATCCTACCCACACACACTTATATTAAAAATCCTTTGTTTTATAATTAAAATGTTTCTGTGCTTATCGTACGATAATTAAAAGTCAAGTCACTATAAAATTCCTTTCTTTCTTTATATATATACACATTTTTTCAGATTTGGTTTCGGTTCCCTTAACCGTTTTGTATACGTAGCTAGGTATGCATTAAAAGTATAACTCATTTCTTTAAGATATCAACAACATTATTCCATAAAATCATTTGCTTTCGTATCACGGTAAAATGATAAAAGAATGAGTGCCTCTTCCTCATGATTTAAAAGCTATATTTTAAAGTATTGTTTAAAAGAGGGACGAAAGATACCAGAGGGACAGTCAAACTCATAGATCGAAAACAAACTGACAACGCCATGGCCAAAAATAAAAAGACAAACAGACAAATAATAGCACAGACGACACAACATAGAAAACCAAAGACTAAGCAACACGAACCCCACCAAAAACTGGGGGTGATCTCAGGTACTCCGGAAGGGTAAGCAGATCCTGCTCCACATGTGGCACCCGTCGTGTTGCTTATGTTATTACAAATCCGGTAAATAGTCTAATTCGGTAAGTCACATTCGTGAAAAAGGAGGGTATTGTAGTTACGACACAAGGAACATATCCGATATCATCTGTGAAACGGTTATTCCATAACGGTCAACCAACTCGTGATGGCGTCCGTAAAATTTACGAAGGAATGACTTCAACTTCACCATTTGGAACTCTTGGTTTAATAAAAGTTATATTCGGCTCTTCTAAAAAGTCCTTTGTGTGATATAATCCATATATTGCTTAAAATTATGTTGGCTATATATAATTTAAAATATTTTCGATATAAGATCGCACACTTTAATAAAATGTCACTAGTATGTACATGTATATATGGTAAAATAGGTTCATTATTTTTCACTCTGTAAATTGACTAGTATATGAGTTTTGTGGCAAAGATATTGAATCTTTTATTATGGAAGTGGTTAGTTTTTCCTTTTAAAGTCATTATCCTTATTATTATCATCCGCTTACTATCTTATAACGGGCTATATGTAGCTGGTATATCAAGCGTCTAGTTAGGCGTTCTACTTTTGCTACACTGGCTGGAGAGAGTTTTCTTGATGTTGCTACCGGTGTGATGTCCAGAATTATTTGCAACTTTTCATTGTCCAATAGTTCATTAAATTGAATTCCAAGACGGTTTAGTACAAAATTCCAAGACTGTTTAGTACAAAAACGTTTTTTATTTGTATAAATCGAAATATTTTACTTTATCAACCGATTTTCGAGTTGGTGAGCATCTAAAGTTCAACTTAGAGCACAAAATTTCAAAGTATTCCAGAAAGCTTATGAGGAAATATATGCTAAATAGGTGTCTACAAACCACACCATATACACAACAACAAACAAAAAATTAACAATGTCAAAAGCAAGTGTGGAAAACTATGCATAGCCTACTCCTATCCAATATTTATTCGGGCTCATAGTGTTTGTTTCAGTATCACAGAAACCTATAGACTCCATTGCTCGGTCCTTTTTTTTTAGTTTTGGTAAATCTATTCCCAATACTGTTATGCTGATTATAAATTTTTATCAATTACTATAAATGTTTCCATAAAGGTTATTATGCTCCTGTAAAAAATCAGTCTTCGTAAACCAGATTATACATGTACATAATCAATTATCATTTAGTATTTAATTTATTTTATTTTCGAATGAACTCATATTTTCATGAATAAAAAATCAGTTTTTAAGATAAAAATATATAAATAAAAACGTACTGATAAGCTTATTGAGAACATGTAAAATGCACATAATCCTTCTGAAAAGGTTCTTTAAATGATGCATGTTATCTGATATGTTCACTTCACAGTTCAATGTATCAAAATAAAAGGAAATATAATCAATAAAAGCATTGATTTCATAACTCAGGTTATGAACAAAATCGTTTTTGTTCAGTATAACGAACCACTTGTCCCGTGCAGACTCCTGGGTGTTTTAACAAACGAGACTGATTAATTTTGAAAAGCGTTAATTACAAAATCAAACAACTTTGTCTGAAGGGGGAAAAATTAAATACACGTGGGATAGACGATTACATGGTCTTCTGTAACATTAAATTCTCTGATTGAAAGGTAAGAAGTTTAGAATTGTAATAATTGGGATAGACGATTACACGGTCTTCAAATTGTCACAGTAAATTATATTGAAAGGTAAGAAGTTAAAAATTGTATAAAGAATATATCAGAATGGTTAATTAAGAATAAAACTTAATTTGATTTCATTCAATTTTTAACAGTAAGTATGTTTATTTTTTGTACATGTATTGATATTTTAAAATCGATAAAAAGATAAGAAGATGAGACATCTATCCACCAGAGACAAAATGACGTCGATTTAAGCAACTATAAGTCACTGTACAGCCTTCAACATCGAGCAAAACACACACTATTTGGTAAGCTATAAATGGTCCGACATGACAAAAGGAAACTCATTCAAACGAAAAAACCAACGGTTTGATTTATGTACAAAACAATAATCAGAAAACAAATATGATAGACAGCAACCAACGGCAAGCACTGAACCATAGGCTCTTGACTTGGGATAGGCGCGTACAGTATGTGGCAGGGTTAAACTCGATCCTCCCCTAACCTGGTGTAACAGTGTCCTAAACACAAACTGTAAATATCAGCTGAAAAAGGCTTGATTCATCATATCGACACAAAGCACAAACACAACTATCAAATAGACTTAAGACACAAAATACCGATCTACGAGTACTGGCAATTACTGTAAGTTAGTTTCAAAGCCAATTACATCTAATTACGAGCATATGTTTCGCGTCGACTTGCATGATTTGCAATAGAGGACAACGACAACGGACGAGCTATGAGTTTGCTATCAAAAATATCTAGATGAAAAACATTTAGTTAACAGGAATACCCGTTTGAACAATTCAGTCAACCAAGAGATGCGTATATGCTAGAATTACTAGTTATGCAATTCAGTCAACCAAGAGATGCGTATATGCTAGAATTACTAGTTATACAATTCAGTCAACCAAAGAGATGCGTCTGTGCTAGAATTACTAGTTATACAATTCAGTCAACCAAGAGATAAGTATATGCTAGCATTATCAGTTATACAATTCAGAAGTATTTGATAAATTTCGTTAGTTTAACAAAAAATAACAGTCGGGTAATGTTTACGTTAAATGTCAATTTCTGTATTATATTTATTGTTCAGACTTGTAGATTTGTAACAAATCACCTGTAGAAATCGAGGACAGTTCGTGTTATTTGGAAGCCTTTGTTATCTTGAGTTAGAATCATAACATTATGATATTAAAAATCTAAATTAAACAAAGTTCAACGGGAGATAATTATGTAGGTTTTTAACAGTCACAAAACTATCGATCATTTAAAGATTATGATCAGTCTTCGTGGGATTTTAGAGAATTATATTTTAGATCGTACCAGGGGTAACAAAGCAAATACGTTTATCTCGAAGATAGGAATAAAAGACACAAGCAAATAATGATTTTATAAAATATTGTGTATTGTGACTACTCAACGAAATTAAGTTTGAAATTGACATTAGGACTTTATAATTTTGAACAATATTATATTTTTAATTGGAATTAGATTTAAAACGAAGCTGTGAAAACAAATTCTGTATTAATAGTAGCTAGTGCTGGAATTAGGAAGTCACTGTGGGCAAAAGCAAAAAAAAACAAAAAAAAAAACTAACGAATAAGTTCTGCATTAGAAATAGTTTGAATTGTCGTATTTGAGACGAAATGATACAAGGAAGCACATTAATTCTAATAGATACAATTTTATACCTGGTACATGGTAATTATCCAATGGTTGTTTATTAGTTTTCTTCAGATCATTGACTAACTTAATGAACTGTTTAAAGTGGGAACCTCTTTAAAAATTTCAAAAATTTAAACACGTAACTGGCATTTAAACAAGTGAATTGGAACTTCAATTTGGAATGGATATATATACATATAAAGGACTTTCTTATTATGACATATAGCATTCTTTCAGAAATACTACGTTGTAAAGTCAGGTCGGAAAGTTATCTAAATCTTATTATTACATTCGTTTTGTACAGATAATTGGAATATTCGGAATCCATAGAATACATTCTTCTTGTTCTGTATTGTCAACATGAAACAAAAGGCAAAGAAGATATTAAATGAAACAATGGTATGTTCAAAACGTAGACAAATGGTTACTGACATAATAGATGTCAAAGACAAAACAAAAGACACCGCATTAGAGGCACCTTCAAATGTATGCGTTGAAAATGTGAATTTAAATAGAATTTCAAATGAAGAAAGTAGTTTAGCAAATTGTGGCGAAATTACAACACTGGAACACCAGTCAAGTGAAAAGGAAGAGAAAAAACCTAATAAAGATCTAATTATATCGAACTCGTTTGAATTGGATGATTTCACAAAGGAACCGCCAAAAGAAATTGCCGACGACTCAAAGGAAATTGTAACAGTCGAAACAGATACCGAAAATGAAATGACAAGTTTAGAGGAAAAAGAAAATCGCAAGAAAATGTCTTCTCCAACTAGTGCGAATGGTATTAACAGTCGGACCAATCAACTTTCTACTATACCAGAAAATGTTAAAGGTGAAGAGAAAGAGATTAAGAACTCGTCGCCGAATCAGACTAAAGTTCTGAAGGATAAGCAAAGTAATCCCGAAGTATCTGGAGATAAAAGTAAGAGACTTGAAGACAATTTGCATAATGAAAGCAAAATGACAAAAGAAGGGTCCAATGTTTTTCCTATTATCATGCCGGATACGGATTCTGTCGTTATAAAACGAATAAAGGACACTAACGAACCTAACAAGCCTGGTAAATCCGACTGTTCTGGAAAAGTTAGTTCAGAGTTAAACCAACGTCCGTTATCGTCTGTGTCCGACCCCGGATATCGAAGTAACTCTGTGTCGAGTCAAAATTCGTGTCAGTCTTCAAAAAAGACTAAGAAAGTTTATTCTGGCATTAGATTTACAAAGAAGGAACTTGAGTACTACTTGCCAAAAAGAAGCAATTTTAGTTGTCACGAAAAAGCATTAAAAGATGCAGGGTATGATTTAGAGGCCATGGAATCAAAACGAAGACGAAGATTCACGCGCAAACAAAACATCAAAGACAAGGAAATAGAAGAAAAACTGAAAGAAATCGAGGATGTTAATACATCACCAATTGTAGATGTAGCGTCTCATGAAAATGAAATAAAGGAACCCGACGATGAACAAACTGAAATGGAAAGATCAAACAAACCGAAACGTAAGGGAAAGAGAAAAGATGAACAGGAAGTCAAAGTAGATCACACAGTTTTGTTACAATATCTTAAATATGTGCTTGATAATAGAGAGGAATATTTTCTTCATAAAAGACAATATATTCAACAAAACACAACTCTACTCAACGTTGATCCAGCATGCACCATTGCCCGATTCGGGCGTGCTTTTCAGAGAGGACAGCATGGCATTATTACTGAACCTTTTTTACTTGAAGTTACACGCGGGATAAAGTCAAATTATGGTGATACACAACAGTGGGTATCTTCAAACAAAGAAAAGCAAACACAAGGAGTTCCGAATTTGAAACCAGAAATACAAGAAACGACTATTGACGAAAAAGACAAAACCGAATACGAAAAGGTAAAGCTTAAACTTGATAAATGGCTAAAAACTATTACAACTGCACAGTTGTTGAAAGCGAAAGAACTTTCATTGAAGGAACTTGGCGAGGAAGATAAACTGCAGAGTCAGTGGTGGTCCACTCTTCAACCGTGTCGATACCTGCGACAGAGAAGTGATTTGGAATAACTTCACGATAAATTTTGTACTGCATTTTTTTTAGAAACATTGCATTTCTCAACCTGCGAATAACAAGTGTTCATTTTTCGATATTGCACATTAGAATATCATTTCACCACAGATGCGGGTACTTATAACAACTCCAAACTATAATATATGCTATACATTGTGCAGAAATTTTGTTACAGTCAGGAAGTACTTGTTTTATGTTTTCATGTTTTAAAGAAATTAATATTTTTGTCATTGAAACTCAGAGAACCTTCATTTTCGGAGAAAAAAACGGATTTTTAAATTGGAAATACGTCAAAATGTGTGTGGGAAGAAATATATATAGTTTGCGAAATACTTGAGAAGCTTTCATATTGATGCTTTGTCTTTTAGCCGCAATTAGTGCAATACTTTATTTATTCGAATTACTTGAATTTATCAAGATTTGCTGAATATTCTTTACAGCTGGTGTCATACTATTATCTATCTTATCTTTAATGGATTTTTCTGATATATCGTAATAAACTAACAAACTATTGAGAATAAATTATTCTAAAAGAAAGGACAAGGTACAAAGCAAACATTTACAAGTGGTTTTAAATCGTTCAACATGCATACTTAAATTAAGCGTTTTCCTACTCAGTTCGTTTAAGTATTCTAGTATTTTTTTACAATTTTATATGTTATTAAATTATTTAATATGTGTTTGGGTGTTTAAGTGTCCTTGATCTGAAAGTTGTTTAGAGAATTTAACTGAAACAATACATGTTCTCTTTTCTTTAAAACTAAATTAAAAAAAACTGTATATTGAATATAATGTGGTTTTTATAATAGCCATAAGATACATGTAATGTTTTCGAATAAAATGAGATAAATGATATTTATATACTTCGTCAAAATTAAAGCAACACCTGCATTTGAATCATATCTGCAGTTTAATTTTTAATGTGGATTTTTTATACAGAATATATTGAACCTTGCGAAATGTGGGCGAATATGGGTTTCCCCATATACAATCACAACTTGTTTAATGAGCTTGTGAGAAAAGTTTATCCTTCATTTCAGTCCTTCATTTTTGCAATGGGTTGAATATGGGCATCATTGTAAATTTTCTAAGTTTCAATTCCTAATTGAATTCTCTATTTAGAATCAAATTTTAGAAATTCTCTAAACAATAAGCTGTATCCTTCGTATATATATAAAATGGAATGCAAAACGATAATGTTAGAAAGAAATGGATTTGAAAAATAATTACATCTCTTTTTCAATTACATCTCGTTTTTTTTTTTTACAAATTGTCTTCGGTTCAATTGATATTTCTAAATTTTCAAATATTCATTTTAGTGAGACTTTTTTTTTGTGCTTAAAAAGATTTGATAGTATTTTTCAGGCATGTCATTCAGGCTTTCTCGTGTGGAAGACAGATAGATGCAAAAAAAAATAATATCAAATAGATACGAATACAGCTTGACAAGAATTGTTTTGATTCTAATAAAAAAAATGTACACGTAATATTTCCCTGAAAACCATAAAGGTTTTCTGTAACTATTGACAAGATGTGTTTTTATAAAACTGATTGGTTAATTGATTGATTAAAGGATTGTTGCATTATGATATATTCATATTTAGGCCAATGCCATGATAATACGATTAAGTCGACCATGACCTACACCATCCTGAATTTTAACGTGCTTGGCTCACAGAATTACTGTTGGTAGTTGTTTTAGATTAAATATGACGGTCAGGTAATGCTGTAGAGGTTAGATATCTTGAAGAGTCAATACTTCTGTATTCTTCCGGTATCTTTCCCTTGTTTTCCATATTTTAAAAATTCAAAATGCTCAAATGTTACATGGAGAAATTCCATTCTAATTTTCTTTTATACTATTTGACGTGATCACTTAAATGAGATTTTTAAATGGGTATATTTTCCTGAGGGTAAATGAATCTAATCTAGTATTTAAAATGTCAATTGGCTTGTACAAGAAATGAAGTTTTAGAGTATATACGGCGTTTTAAATGTAATTTAGAGTGTAACATTGATATAATTGTTGAATATTTTGACCGATTTAAAGTACTTAGTCTAGTGTACGTATTAATTACTATATTGATTCATTTGGAGAAATACGAGAATCATAATAATTTGCGGCCTTGTAAGTCCTGTCAACTCACACATAAGTAGCATTGTCCTTGAGGACCACTTTTATAGATGAAAGATATGTTTAATTATTGTTAGTGTATAATATTGAAATCCGTATCAGTTTACGTATCAGTCATAACAATTTACTTTTTCAATTCCACAACTGTCGTATTTTTACCAATTTGATTTGCTAATATTGATTATAGGCATAATATTGATTATAGGCTAAGTTAATTAAATCAAAACTATGTATGTAATTTGTAATTTGTTTCATTAGCTAGATTTTTCAAAAAATACATGGTGTAATAAAGGTTATACATATTTATCCAAGACATTGCACATAACAAAGTAGTAAAACAAACAGCTTGAATATTCAGCCAAACTACATGATATGAAAGGATTGTAAAATGATCTAAAATACAATAATCTAAGTATAAGAATACTACTTAACACTACAAAAAGATTGAAAAAAGTCATTACAGGCCTTTATATTCAACTAGGTGATGTTTTTCGGTAGACACCATCAAAACAAGAATATGATAACTTATGATTGTCCTTTTTAAATACTGAATTTCCTTTGCTGCACCACTCATGAATGGCATGGTAATGGAAGTATTTTACTTTCATGGTATGATGTAGATTTCACAGTGGGTTCTCTTTTGTTAGAGTTTGTCACTGAAATCCGTGAAATGAACTGCAGTTAGGATTACTAGTATATCCATGTTTATGAGCTTGTCTTAAGTCAGGAACCTCGTCAGTGGTTATCTTTTGTGTTTATGAGCTTGTCTTAAGTCAGTAACCTCGTCAGTGGTTATCTTTTGTGTTTATGAGCTTGTCTTAAGTCAGTAACCTCGTCAGTGGTTATCTTTTGTGTTTATGAGCTTGTCTTAAGTCAGTAACCTCGTCAGTGGTTATCTTTTGTGTTAATGAGCTTGTCTTCAGTCAGGAACCTCGTCAGTGGTTATCTTTTGTGTTTATGAGCTTGTCTTAAGTCAGTAACCTCGTCAGTGGTTATCTTTTGTGTTTATGAGCTTGTCTTAAGTCAGTAACCTCGTCAGTGGTTATCTTTTGTGTTTATGAGCTTGTCTTAAGTCAGTAACCTCGTCAGTGGTTATCTTTTGTGTTAATGAGCTTGTCTTCAGTCAGGAACCTCGTCAGTGGTTATCTTTTGTGTTTATGAGCTTGTCTTAAGTCAGGAACCTCGTCAGTGGTTATATTTTGTGTTTATGAGCTTGTCTTAAGTCAGTAACCTCGTCAGTGGTTATCTTTTGTGTTTATGAGCTTGTCTTAAGTCAATAACCTCGTCAGTGGTTATCTTTTGTCACTAGTCTTAAGTCAGTAACCTCGTCAGTGGTTATCTTTTGTCACTTGTCTTAAGTCAGTAACCACGTCAGTGGTTATCTTTTGTCACTTGTCTTAAGTCAGTAACCTCGTCAGTGGTTATCTTTTGTCACTTGTCTTAAGTCAGTAACCTCGTCAGTGGTCATCTTTTGTCACTTTGGAGAATTTGGTTTTGATGGTAGATCTTTGATAGTTTTTATTTAATTTTACCACAACTTCTTTTGATTCGGAGCGATTTAGAGCTTAACAATGTATAGATTGCTTACACAGTGTGTTGACCATTGGATGTGGTCTGTATAGATTGCTTACACAGTGTGTTGAGCATTGGATGGGGTCGGTATAGATTGTTTACACAGTGTGTTGACCATTAGATGTGGTCTGTATAGATTGCTTACACAGTGTGTTGACCATTGGATGTGGTCTGTATAGATTGCTTACACAGTGTGTTGACCATTAGATGTGGTCTGTATAGATTGTTTACACAGTGTGTTGACCATTAGATGTGGTCTGTATAGATTGCTTACACAGTGTGTTGACCATTGGATGTGGTCTGTATAGATTGTTTACACAGTGTGTTGACCATTGGGTATAGATTGCTTACGCAGTGTGTTGACCATTGGATGTGGTCTGTATAGATTGCTTGCACAGTGTGTTGACCATTGGATGTGGTCTGTATAGATTGCTTACACAGTGTGTTGACCATTGGATGTGGTCTGTTTAGATTGCTTGCACAATGTGTTGACCATTGGATGTGGTCTGTATAGATTGCTTGCACAGTGTGTTGACCATTGGATGTGGTCTGTATAGATTAAAATTGAGAATGGAAATGGGGAATGTGTCAAAGAGACAACTTACACAGTGTGTTGACCATTGGATGTGGTCTGTATTGAGTGCTTACACAGTGTGTTGACCATTAGATGTGGTCAGTATAGATTGCTTACACAGTGTGTTGACCATTGGATGTGGTCTGTATTGAGTGCTTACACAGTGTGTTGACCATTGGATGTGGTTTGTATAGATTGCTTACACAGTGTGTTGACCATTGGATGTGGTCTGTATAGATTGTTTACACAGTGTGTTGATACTTGGATGTGGTCTATATAGATTGTTTACAGTGTGTTGACCATTGGATGTGGTCTGTATAGATTGCTTACACAGTGTGTTGACCATTGGATGAGGTCTGTATAGATTGCTTACACAGTGTGTTGACCATTGGATGTGGTCTGTATTGAGTGCTTACACAGTGTTTTGACCATTAGATGTGGTCTGTATAGATTGCTTGCACAATGTGTTGACCATTGGATGTGGTCTGTATAGATTGCTTGCACAGTGTGTTGACCATTGGATGTGGTTTGTATAGATTGCTTGCACAGTGTGTTGACCATTGGATGTGGTTTGTATAGATTGCTTACACAGTGTGTTGACCATTGGATGTGGTCTGTATAGATTGCTTGCACAATGTGTTGACCATTGGATGTGGTCTGTATAGATTGCTTGCACTGTGTGTTGAACATTGGATGTGGTCTGTATTGTGTGCTTACACAGTGTGTTGACCATTAGATGTGGTCTGTATAGATTGCTTGCACAATGTGTTGACCATTGGATGTGGTCTGTATAGATTGCTTGCACAGTGTGTTGACCATTGGATGTGGTTTGTATAGATTGCTTACACAGTGTGTTGACCATTGGATGTGGTCTGTATAGATTGTTTACACAGTGTGTTGATACTTGGATGTGGTCTATATAGATTGTTTACAGTGTGTTGACCATTGGATGTGGTCTGTATAGATTGCTTACACAGTGTGTTGACCATTGGATGTGGTCTGTATAGATTGCTTACACAGTGTGTTGACCATTGGATGTGGTCTATATAGATTGCTTACACAGTGTGTTGACCATTGGATGTGGTCTGTATAGATTGCTTACACAGTGTGTTGACCATTGAATGTGGTTTGTATAGATTGCTTACACAGTGTGTTGACCATTGAATGTGGTTTGTATAGATTGCTTACACAGTGTGTTGACCATTGGATGTGGTCTGTATAGATTGCTTACACAGTGTGTTGACTATTGGATGTGGTCTGGTTTTTTGTTTGTATCTTTTGAGTTGTAATCTCATCGACGTATACCCCACCTTCTTTTATTCGTAAATACACTGTAAACATTGGTACAAAACATTTAACTGTATGTAAAACCGGTATAATAGACGACAAAATCATGGATACACTTTAAACAATACTAAGTGATATCGTATCAAAGTAAGCTTGAAGTTGCTGGAAGCAAGCTTGCATATCACATACTATATCTCTTTATTTCTATATTCACAGTACTAGTACTTTAAATATTTTCAATCTTCTGACATCAAAACCATGAAGTCGAATATTCTAATACAGGCTGCTTTTAGGATTAGATTTCATGCATTAATACCATAGACAGACCACAGAGACACACATTGTGCAATGCTCAAACTAAAAATGTTCAATACAAAAAAAAAATTAAATGAAACTTTTTTAGTCTTGGTTCAAACTATAGTCGAATGATATTGATCCCCGAAAATACAAGACTGAATGACTGAGCAACAATAGTGTGAGTATATTAGGCAACAAAAGATTCGAAGGATATTTCCAGTCTATGGATGGTTATTAATGAAGAGTGACGACTACTAAAAAATGCGAGAACTGTTGGGTTATTATAAGCGCCATGAGCATAGACACACTCGGTTTATGAAAAGCAAACTACAAAGTAAAAGCCGGTTACGACAACCAATGTGGTGTCCACAAGTGAACAGTATAACAAAAACACGACACAAAATAGGCTTCTGAATTAATAGAAGAGTAAAAGAGAGGTGACAACACGACACAAAAAAGGCTTGTGTATTAATAAAAGAGCAAAAGAGAGGTGACAACACAACACAAAATAGGCTTGTGTATTAATAAAAGAGCAACAGAGAGGTGACAACACCACACAAAATAGGCTTGTGTATTAATAGAAGAGCAACAGAGAGGTGACAACACGACACAAAATAGGCTTGTGTATTAATAGAATAGCAAAGGAGAGGTGACAACACGACACAAAATAGGCTTGTGTATTAATAGAAGAGCAACAGAGAGGTGACAACACGACACAAAAT